GAGAAGGGTGCAACAATGAATGAATGGAATTCCAAAATCTCTGTAGATGTTCACTGAAATGAAAAATAAACAACCTAAATTTAAAAAAAAAAAGAAGCAGGACGGGAAATTCTGGGCTGCTTTAGGAACAACTTGACAGCTGGTTTCTCAGAACAATGGTCATACTGTGTAAGTAAGATGCGCCCATACTGTGTGGCTGAGAACAGCCTGCTTGCCATCTTTCCCTTGGGACTGTCCCCCTACCCTCTATTGTGGCCTCTGGGTGAAGGCCACAAAGCCAGTACTTCTCAGAATCTCCAAAGTGAGGGAGTGTGAAATCTCAAGGGTAGCTGCATTTCAGGCACCTTCTCTGGGCTCAAGAATGAGGGGTGCAGGGCTAAGTGCATGGAGGGAAGGCCGGTGGTGGCCGGTGATCTGTGCTGGGCGTATGCTCAACGTAGCTGGAAAGGACCATTCGCCTGGTCGTGTAGATGCGGCTTGTTCCACAGCTTCACTCCCCTCCACACTTCTGACTGGAAGCCGTGCACTAGTGAAGAGTTCAGCACAGCAACCTAGTGACCCCTGGTGTTTGTGTGAAGAAATGGTGGTAACAGTGATTCCACTCGGCTTTTCCTCTCTCGTCTGCCACCTCACCAATCGACAGGACTTTACTTTCTCCTCCCTGACTTGTACAGACTTTTATTTTTACAGTAACAGCTCCCTATCACATGTCTGTTACTTTGGATACTGTCAGCACACTCTGAATGTCAGGAAGCAAGGACAGAGACGTATTCACTAGGGTGCAGAGTGGACTGCGTGTGCAGATGATGCGTATAACATAGGCGCCCTGCAAATTAAAATAACTACCAATACTTTCCCCGTGATGAAAAATTATGCCTCTCATTGCCACTGGTTACTCCCAAAAGACAGCAACATAGGTTACAGGGATCAAAAATAGGAAGAAATAAATGAAAACAATAAATCCCGTTATAAAATCATAACACACCACCCAAAATGACAATAATGAGAAAGGCTGGCAATACTAAGTGATAGTAAGAATGTGGAGAAACTGAAAACTCTCTGGAGGATCAGTTATGGGTCAGTTCTGACTTGATGCCACACAGCAACAACAACAAATGTAAACTGGTATGTGAAAAGCCCTAAGACCTAGCAATGCCACTCCAATCAAAGGCATATATATGTGCATCAAAAACACTTCTCAGAAGGTGTGCAACATCATATTTACACTAGAAAAAAATGAGAAGCACTCTAAAACGGCCAAGAAAATAGCAGAACAGGTTGGAGGAGCAAATTGTGATATATTCCTGTAATGAAATTTTATACACCAATGTGAAGTGTCATCAGTCAGGAGAGGGCAGAGCGTCACGAGCCATAGTGGACTCGCTGGCATCTAACAACAATAACAAGAAGGATCCTTTTCTGGCTCATGAGCGTGATGACCAGGTGCTCAGGCTTTTGTACGGCATGTGTCTCCCTTAAATCTTGTTATGATGTTGGCACAATACCCGTCTGATGTAAAAAAACCCACTCAAACAATAAGAAGTAGTAATGTTTCATACAACACATGGATGAAATTATGTGATAATCATAAAAATAATGCCTATTTTTATGTCAAGAACAAAACCAGCCAAGATTCAAAATGGAAGTTGCAGTTGGGGAGGGTGGGATGTGAAGGGGGGTGGGGTGCTGGGGATGCTTAGAATTAGAAATATTTTCATCTGAGTGTACTTCATGGACATACTGATTTGATGATCATTCACCAAGCTTAACCAATGCAATCATCTTTAAAGTAGCAGAATCTGTCAAGACTACTCACCCTCTCATTCTGATCCTTTACACACATCCTTCAACACCAGTAAACCTGACCATCTATCTACGTGGCCTCCCCAGGCTCTCTGGGCCGCACCCCGCCATCACAGCACTACTTCCCTATCTCCTCATCACGATGACCACTTCCACGGCCATCTGTCCCATTTCCAGTAGGAGCCCACTGAAAGAAAAGGCTCTTATAAGTCAGTCAAATACATAAGCAGCAAAGGGCTTCCAGCTTACCTGTGGGAACAGCATCGCACAATCTTTAAGAGTAAGTGGATGGCTTTTAACCTCTGATGACCAGTCTGGCGGCAGGCCACGCCCACCAGCCACTCCCAGATTTTGGCCAATGGGAGGTGTGGTATAACTCTTTCTTCTGACAACATCTGCTTCAAAATCTCGAATCCTGGCCAACCAATGAAAACAGAGATATTTTCATGATAAAGTCTAAAAACTGGGTACAGTAAGATTTCTAAATTTTACAAACTGCTTAGGTTTTAATTAATGTAATAATAAAGACATATGCCCTGTCTTTAATAAATAGGATGAAACTATTATGCTCATTTATATTTTTTTCAGAAATTCAGCCTTTTGTAAAGGCAATACAGGAACAACACTTTAAGAACCTCCTCCACACAAAAGGCCATAGTAAATCAGAGAAAACAAGTGTTTTTGTTGTTGGGACAAAACCAGAATGACTGTTAGCTGCTGTTCAAGTTTACAACTAACCATGTCAGGTTCAGAAGTGGCCAAGTGTGGGTTTGATCAGGGAGGCTGCGGAAATATTTTTTTTTCTTGTTTAAATGTTTCCTTTTTAAAAAATTATTATTATTCTTATTAATTTCAAAAAATATGGAACGCTTCACGAATTTGCGCATCATCCTTGCGCAGGAGCCATGCTAATCTTCTCTGTATCGTTCCAACGAGCACAAGGCTGCGGAAATCTTAAAGCTTCCGTTTTGACTTCAGTCAAGCCCGGGGCAGTCATGGCGCCTGCCCCTCACAGTGAGTCTGGCAGGCAGACAGATCCTACAGGAAGACAGGGCACCCACCTGTCTGGAAACGCCCCAGGTGTCCAGCTGTCACAGTGAACTTGTAGCCCCACTCGGTGTTGCTCATGTCAGAGGTGAACCGGTAATACAGAGTGTCTCCTAGTCACACAAGAATCAGAGCAAGATCAGGAAACAGAAGTAAAAGGCAACAATTTAGGTCATTTCTGACAAAACACATATTAAACTAATTTTTAAATTCTCTGAGTAATTTCCCTTCCCAATTTCAATACTGCCTGGGCTAATAGGCAAAATCGTGATAGGTGGGAAAAGTTTGAAATTGTTAACAATTCCATTTTGCTTGGATCCAAAGTCAACACCCTTGGTACAAGCAGTCAGGAGATCGGGAGATGTATAGCACGGGGAGAGTCTGCTGACAGGGATCTTTCCAAAGCCCTGAAGAGCAACAATGTCAGTTTAAAGACTTAAGGTGCACCTGACTCAGGGAATAGTCTTTCCAGTCACCTAGGGTGCATCTGAGAGGTGGCCCATGAATAAGGATGGCAGAGAAGAATTGATGTATTTGAGTTGGTGTTGGAGGAGAGTACTCGATACATCATGGACTGCCCAAAAAGCAAGCATGTATGTCTTGGAAAAGTGCAGCCAGGATGTTCCTTGGAGGTAAAGACGGGAAGCTTTGTCTCACATATTTTAGACATGTTGCTAGGAGAGGGTATTCCTTGGTGAAAGGTATCCTGCTTAGGAAGGTGGAAGATCAGTAAAGGAGAAGACAACCCTCGATGAGATGTATCTGTGACAATGGACTCAGATGTGTTGAGGATGGTAGGATGGCTCAGGATAGAACAGAGTTCAGATCAATTGTTGATAGGGTCACTAAGAATCGTACTCAACTTTACAGCACTTAACAACAACAACAAGAAAAACCCCAATGATACTAAGTTTCAACACTTAATGCTATTAGTCTATATAACCAAATGTTTACTACCTGGAAGCTCAAAATCTTTCCACTTCTGTTGGGACCCACTGAAATTGTGCCGATCCTGCTGGAAGTCACTGCTGCTAGACATGGCCAACTCGTCACAGCCCTCCTCAGTATTGCACCGAGAATCGAATTTGATTGAGAGGTAGATTGCACCAGGAATGTTAACTTTGTCCTGTGGAGGGGACGAGAATGTCTCGGCTGTTATCGCTGGCATTTACCAAGGGCTTGTCTCCAGCCCTACAGCCTGTGATGGCAACTGGGAAGGTACAAAGGGGAAGCACTGTCCTGCCTCCAGGAGTCCTCAGCGAGCTGGGAAGGTGACACGTGGACTGCGAATGCAATGAGAAGTGATCGAGGGCAGGGCAGGTGCGGAGGGCAGACTCTACCCAGAGAAGGAGGGAGGGCAGGAAAGGGCTCACAGTGAAGGCACAGGGGGTAGAACGAAAGAGGCTGTTGGAGGAGGGGGTAGGAGAGAGGATGGCAGGAGGCCACGGGAGAGGAGGATGCATTTCAGGCAAACGGAGCCATGGAGAGGTCTGATGCAGGGAGTGCTTTGTGTGTACATGTGTTTGGGAGACAGCAGGAAGGGCATGACCTGAGAATGAAGGCCAAGCAGAAGCTTAAATGAGGCAGTTACACTTTATCTGGGCAGCAAGGGGAGCTTTGGAAAGCCCCTCTCTGATAGCCAGTGTCAAGAAGGCCAGGGCTGGGGTGGGGCCAGGGCAGGCCATGCAGTGTCAGCCACAGTGACCCCTGACAGAACTTGGTGACTGGCCAGATGTGTGCAGGGTTGGCACCTAAAAACAAAAGGAAGGAAAGGAGAGGAGGTGGGTTAAGTTTATTTAAAACAAAATTTCAGCTGCCTGAGAGTCGGTTCTAAGTGTTTCTGTCATCACCCTACTCCTGCAGGGCACCTCCACTGAGAGGCATAACAAGGTACCAAAGTTCTGTAAGGCCTGATATTTTTAAAAGGGCTAAAGAAAGCAGATGGTGGTAAGTGAGGCTGCCCCACTTTGCCACATGCAAAAAATTCTCACCTCAGCCCAGATATAAACTTAAGGCTAGAAATGATGAAGCTTTTGGATTCTAGTACATAAATATATATGGGTTCTGGGGTCAGGGCATGGTTTGGCCATCAGGAGGCTGAAAGGCAGGAGGTGAATCTAGCTAGACTCACACTCTGACCTCCTGACTGAAGAAGCCAAGAGCATGCGAAGGAGTTGTTGAAGACAAAGTCATCTCTCCTCTAAGGCCAGGAGGTGAGCATTTTCTAAGGTGGTAGGGAAAGGGCAGGAGGTGTGAGGTGCCAATTTCCTACTGGTAGGGGAGAAGGTCAGGAGGTGTGTATTTTCTACTGAGGAAGGTAAGGAGGTGTGCATTTTCCAGGGTGGTAGGGAAAAGTTGGAGTTGCGCATTTGCTAACAGGAGAAAGTCAGGAGGTGCGTATTTTCTATATGGAAAGCTCAGGATGGGGAAGACTTGCAGTACAGAAACCCTGGCTTCAGTGCAGTGGACCGCAGGAGGGTCTAAGGAGGTCAGGGCTCTAAGTGGGCAAAGAGCTGGGTTCAAGTCAATGAGCTTGCTTCTTATTGTCTCCTGCACCAAGTGCAGCCCTGAGGCTGGTCAACTTGGGTCATACCTCGAAGTTGGTATTGTTGTTATACGGGTGTTTCGACTCTCTGACTTGCATCTCCATTCCTGGCTCCTCCATGAACTGGCAGGCAGCCAGGGCCATGGTCCCCAGCATGTTCTCTCGGCAGCCTCGGAGCACTTTCTGCAGGATCTGGTGGAACAAAGGCAGAGAACATCAGGGTCAGCCAGGGGCTGGAGCTACTCCATCAAACAAAGAGAAGTTTACTTCAACCCAAGGCCCATCTGAAGGGACTGGCATCTTCCTGGCCCTCACACCAGCCTCTGTAATCCCACCTGCACTAGCCATCTCTTATTCTAAGGGCCCTCAGTATTAATCAAGACACTGAAATCCTGTCAGAATCACTGCTTCAGGGGGATTTGGAAGAACTAAGAGAATGAATCAGAAAACTCTGAGGGGTTCTCAGCATAGCAGGTGTGTAGACAGAGACTAATAATTACAGCACAATGTGACAGGTATGTAAAGTGAAGGGCAAAATTAGCAGCTTTCATGGGGCAGCAATGGGGGAAAGGCATGTCTGAGGGAAGGACATGTTTGCCAATTCCAGATGAGGCTGCAAGGCTAGAAGAGGACTCACAGAACTCAAGAACTGGTTCTGATCTTAGATGGGCAAGTTAGTGAAGAATTAACCTACTAAATCCCAAATGAAGCATATGTGTATGTGTGTGTGTGTGAGAGAGAGAGAGAATGAGAGTGACAAGTCGGGGGGACAGGATGAAGATACCAAAAGTGACTCAAAATTTCTATCCTTGGAAAGATGGTGATCAATTTTTCTAGCTCAGCCAGAAACAGGGCCCAGGGTCCTGGATGCAAGACCAGGATATTTCCTGCTACATTGGGTCCTGTGCGTCTATACTATACAGCAGATGGAAAAGGCGCTTCTCTCTAGGCAAGTGTGTTGACCCAGCAGCCTTACCAAAGAATGAGCTGAAGACATCATTTTTATACAAGGGATTCTAACATTTAAAATCAAAGTTAAAATCAGAAGTCTGCGGCAGACCCTCCTGAGATCTCAGTTCTAACACTGAGAGGCTGGGACCCTGCATGAGCCTCCGTGGGCTGCTTCCTCACCTACTAACACTCTGTTGTGGAAGAGGACAATGCAACACGGGTGGAGTGCTGGCAGTGGGTGTGCGCAGGCACAGACAGTGCAGAAGTGGTAGCTTAAAAAAGAAGACGGAAACCTCACTGAAGGGGCACTGTATTACCAGACAGGCTTACGGAGGGCTGTGATTAGGTCTGTCCTTGGGCTTAGCATTATGCACCCCAAGGGACGTGAGAAGACAGGCTAGCTAGGACATTTAGTTATTTAGTAAGTAGGAAGTATGTTGAGGTAGATTTTACGGGATCATTATTTCAAACATGCCCTGTACTTGGCTGCAGGCCAGTCATAGGAGAGTGCGCAGCAGTGAGCTTGCTTTTACCACAGCCACACCTGTCTGGAGGATGGGGCTCAGCCAAGCGGGAAACCCCTCTCCAAGGAGTTTGTTTAAAGTCAGTGGGAGAGCAGAACCAGGGGAGGGGTGGGCAGAGGAGGGGGTCTGTGGATGAGTGCAGTGCTTGGCTTATTAACTACCTTCTCCCACTGTTGTTTTTCTTCCAGCTGCATGAACATATCCAGAATGTAGGTCATGTGGGCAGGGCCACTTAGCTCCAGGATGTCTTCACTCACTGGGACGTGCCCAGGCCACTCAGCAAGCAGGGATGCAAGCACATGGCGGGCGTACAGGACAGCCGTGGCCTCATTCACTCGGAAGAGGTAGTCACGAACGGCTCTCTTAGTCTTGCAGTTCAACTCTTTGTGCAAGAGGGCGGCGCTCTTGCTCCGGCGCTGCTTGGCGTAGCTCTGCTGCAGTTCACTCTCTGTGCTGGAGATCAGCTTCTGGGTCACGGGATTGGACTCGGCAGTGGCCTGCTTACAGCATGCGGGCCGAGACTGCAAACCCAAAGGACCATCATTATCGTGGACTGGCCTGCTCACAATGAGAGGTGGGGGCACCTGCTTTTATTAAAGTGGGGGCTACGTACCAAGCATGGCAAGATAATCATGTCTGTGTCCACAGCTTTCGCGCTCTGCTCGTCCAGTCTCAGACTCTTACTGGGCTGCCACTTCTGAGCCAGGGTCCGAATCCTCTCATCTGTGGTGAGCTCATCTCCATCAAACCTGAAGGGGCACAGAGGTGGGGACAGGAGTCTAACCTGCACTTCAATTTGTGAGAAAAGGTGGTCGACTATTTTTCTCTTACTGTGCAATCACTGTTCACATTGTGCTAACTGGCTGCACACCATTCATTTTTTTATGAGTGCATCAGAAGCTCCCAGCTGCTCCATGGTAGAAAAGAACTGATCTGCTCCTGTGGGGTCGACAGCTGAGGAAACCCCACGGGGCAGCCCTTTGTCCTGGAGAGTCATTGTGAGAAGGAACTGACTCCACAGCACACAGCAACAATGGGACACTGTCAGAAACAAAGTGCCCCTGAAGTTTCAGGAGGACACATGGTCACCCAGTCGGGGAGCACAGTCCCCAGCACCCCTGCAGCTGGACGGAGCTCTGTGCTAGGATCCTGCCAATACTGAGGTGATGTGTGTCAGCTTCACGAACTTGTCTTCTATGCCTTGACAACCACCCTACTTGGGGTCAGAACACAGAGGCGGTGTTGGGGAGCTTGCCTGGACCACAAGATGAGAGAAACTCCTTGGGGCTGCTGGGTCACTGTGTGGATCAGAGGCACCACACGCCTGTCTCTGGACTATGGTGTGAGAGGAAAACAAACTTCTCTTGTCCTGAGTCATGATTTCCTGGATTTCTTAGTTAAGAGTAGTTAGACTGTTCCTCCCTAATGACGTCCCACTTCATCTCACAAAGGACTCGCGGCAATGTATAAGAACTGTTGTTGTTAAGTGCTGTCAAGTCGGAGGCGACTCATAGCGACCCTATGAAAGAGAGTCCTCAACGCTTGGGTGCCTTTCATTCTCTCTCTAGGTTCATAGAGTTTCCAGAGGCAAGCTATTTTATGCAAGTGGATGCCACTCCTCCTTCCAAGTATAAGAACTACGTATCGTAAAATAGCAGTATGAAATAAAAAGTAGGAGAAAATAAAAGTAGGATAGAAATTATACTAAGAGATCAAAATGAGCATATGAGGGATGGAACACAGACATAGAAAGTTCTTAAAAATTTAAGTACCGAGGCTGAGAACAAGCTCTCTTGCCAAGAGAAAGAGAGTACCATTAATTTTATAATTCTTGAGGAAGAAACATAAAAATAATTTATAGCTGTGAAGGCACTTGCCTACAAGGATTGCATAAAAGAAATCTTGGTGTCAGGATCTGTAAAATAAATCCTTACTTAAGAAGTAAACTGTAAATGGAAAGTTGCTCAAAAGGAACAGACAGCATACTTCAAGATATGATGTAGCATGGCCACTTCTGAGAACTGAAAACCAGTTCCAAACCTGCTCTTTATTCAGAGCTCTCTCGCTGGAAATAAGTGCTCTCTGCTCTCGATGAGATGGACTGACACAGTGACTGCAGCCACGGGTGTCAGAGATGGTGAGGACGGCACAGGACAAGAGGGGGCACAGATTGGTTGTTAATAGGGTCGCTATGAGTCATACTGGACTCGACAGCACCAAACAATGAAATAACTCTTTCAAATTCTCTCCCTCAGCATATTTCTGCTTCCTCAGATGCGCCTCACCTCTTCTGGACTTCCAGGAAGAAAGAATCGGTTCTTTTCATCTGTAGCTCATATATGGCCCGGAGAACGTGCAGAGGAGCATTGAGGGCATCATGCGCCATCTGAAGACCACAATGAGGAAATAAAAGGGAGAGAGTGAAAGACGCTTCACACACATTATTCTGAGATGCTCTGATCTCAGAAATGATACAATGGTAATTCAAGTTACAAAGCAAAAAAGTATATAAAATTTTAAGTAATAAAACATGGATTATAAAATCAGCACTGCTATCAAACATAGGGAAAAAAACCCAGAACACTGGAATATCAAGAGAAATATTGTATTATCAAAATACTATCTATAGTATAAGTCAATATATATCCACCGCACTAGATTCTCCATTAGCTTCTCCATAGCTACCTCGTACTAAATTAAATTTGGTAACTGGCACATAATCTAATAAGTATATACTTGCTGTCTGACATCCACCTTGCACTCTCTGGCCACTCTTCAAGCCCTGAGCCATTTTTATATCATTCAACAAGAGCCTGGTCTACTCAGATAAACTAGAGAGTGTGTCTGACCAACTATGAGTTTGAGGACTAGTATTTGGATGGGTTTCTGTAAACCCTAGAACCTACATGTAAAGTTTTAGATACATTTGAATGTGTATTTTATAGGCAAAACATCTAAATGCTTGGGGTCCATGATGCAAAAACATTAAAACCTGCTTCTGTAAAGGCTTTTCAGTTCTGGGTAAATTCTGCATAATACATATTGAGTCTTTAGGAAGTGAATTCTCAGGACATCAAAGCCAAGCATGTGAAGGTGGAAACACAGTCCAGGCCTAGGATTATCCAAGCCCAAGGATCCTTTGTTCAATCAACACGATGTTTGCAAAACATACCAAGAAGCATATTCTGGTGGGTTCATCCAGGCTTTCTAGAGGGTCCAGCTTCTTCTGCTCCATTTCACTGGGGCTGCTGGCTGACCGCTCCACCTCATCCTCTTGGTCTCCTCGCTCATCTAGTTCCAGGTCTCCATGGTCTGTCAAAGTGTTGATTTCCTTTTTTGAGGAGTATAGCATGATGGATAGAATCTACACATAAAGACAATTGGGTAGGGCAGAAATTGGAGCATTTTGTGGGTGGAAAGATCACACAATTCTTTAACCATCAAAGGATAAAAAAATTCTGGCCTAGTACCTTAAAAGGCCTAAGAATGTAAGCTTAGTAAACAAACATGAAAATAAGTTCATTGATCTTGCAATAAATAAAACAAAACTATGAGGGACTTTGCATTTATTAACTTTTCTACAGAGAGTATAAACTGATATTATCTTTTCAGAACATGTTTTAGTGAAATACAAAGAGCTGTGAAAGTGCTCATATCCTTTGACTCTGTAATTCAACTTTTGGGAATAATGTAAGATACAGTTAACACTACATTTCCAATAAGATCAGAGAAGCAATAACAATGCTGAAAAATGGAAAACAACCGTATGTGGCCATTAAAAACAGTGGTTGTGGACAACTGGCTAGAAACTTAGAGGAGTTCAACTGTTCTCCAGGTTATTAATTGGTAATGTTCTGGCATATCTTCCCTTAAACCTAATCAAATCCCTTTAGAGAACTAGTGTTACTTTGAGTTCAGGCCTCTGTGTGACTAAGACCAGTCATTGTCCAGCCCCACACAGCAGCCATCCTTCAAGCTGAAGCTGCCCTTGTCCCAGCAGGTTCACAGGGAAACGTAGCAATTCTGTTATGAAAAATTTAAGGCCTGCACAGAGTAGTCATAAAATTATCAACTAAAATATCATGTAAAATAAACAGAAGCAAGGACAAATTTAGAAATGGGATTTTTAGTCCAAAACAACTTTGAAGGGAAATAATTTTCAAGGATATTCTTTATTACCATGTGTTTTCACAAAACACTTCTCTTCCAAAAATTCTCTGAACAAACATAAAATTCCCTTTCCCTCGTCAGGGGAGGACCAGACTGATCATCTCTATTTCTAGATGGAAAAGCGGATGTAAGGTACAGTTTTTTTAAATGCCCAGGAAGAGTGCCCACGGCAGAAGCAGTGGACCAATGCTCAGGCAGGAGGCACCCTCACTTACTTCCAGGTCCCGAAGGAGCCACGTTTTACTGAAGCCAGTCCCTTTGCTGCACTTTTTCACCAGCAGCTTCAGCAGATCAGTCTGAAGAAAAGTAGCCTGGGTCTCTTCAAAACCGTGAGCCTGTCAAGCAGAAAAGGTATGACTTGTATCTGCCTCGGTGTGAGAGAGGAATGACCATTTGAAGAGAAACAAGCCTTTCTCAGAACCCAGACTCAGCTGGTGGCCTGCATTTACCTCTGGTGTTTTCACTTCCACCATTTCCCACATTCCTTCAAACAAGAATTAAAGAATAAATAAAGAATTCTATGATGGATGAAACTCTGAAGCTTCGTAATAACCTGCTGTTGAGTCAAGCATTCTTTAATTCATTCACTCAGCAAATATTTTTTAATGCATATCTTGTTCTTTGTGGGAACACCCATGCTTCTCATGGCTCTTAAGTGAAATCTAGCTCCTAACACGGCTGACCAGGGCCCACCTGGCTTCCTGCCTGATTCTCTAGCTCCACCCCTTCTGAGAGATCCTATAGCCCTCCCTGGTAGTGTTCCTGCTTCCTGGAAGCTCTGCTTGCTCTTGCTCCTGCCTCGAGGCCTGGAGCCTGCTGGCCTCTCAGCATTGGAACGCTTGCCCTTGTTCCCAAAGGCCTCACCTATCATCTCAACTCTCACCGCCCCAGAAAGGCTTTTCCTGATTTAAGGTGGTCCTCCTGCGAGTCTTCCTCATATCAGTAAGTTCCATGAAAACAGAGACCTTCTTTCTGGTTCACCACTACACACTCAGTTCTGTATATCACTTGGTTCAAAGAGTATTGACTGAATGGGGGATTCAAAGATACAAATGGTTCCAGAAAGTTTTCTTGCCTCTCTTGTTGTAATGTAGGGATGGGCAATCTCCTCCTGTATGACTTACTGCCTCTGAAAACCCACGGGAGGGTCAGCTATCAGTCAGTTCCAACTTGATGGCATACACCACCAACAATTATAATGTAAACAAATAACACAGTAGTGGATTGTGATAAATGCCATAAAATAGACAAGGAGCAGTTGTAAACAGACTCCATCCTAGAACCAAACTCTCAGGGCTGAGCCAAGCAGAAGACCGAGCCGAGTCTCCCCAGGAAGTTGTGTCTCTCCATGGCATCCCCACCAAGTGGTCCAACCCGCCTGCCCTCACCTACCCCAACTGCCAAAGCAATCCTAGAGCCCACTGGATCCTAGAACTCTTTATTCTTCCCTTGGTTTAAAGCCTATGGAAGCAGAACTATCGGTCAGACAGGAAGTGATAAACTTTCCAGTCTATATTTCTACTGATCTGTCAAAGTCATCTACTAGGTAGTGGTAGTGTTTGAGTACATGAGGCAACACTGAAAAAACCCAGGGAACTAAACTCTTGGGAGAATTCTCCTTCTTTCCTAAAAATAATCATGATCCAATGGCTAACCATCCATGAAAATAAGATGGCATTTCCTCCTTGTTAAATGCCGGCAGCTGTCAAATCCCAACCAGAGTCATCACCAAACTGAAGAACCTCACCATTACCTTTAGTGTTTTATACAGTCCTTTGAGGGCCAAGGACAGGACCCAAGTGGCTTCCACAGCCTCGGGACAATGGCTGTCCATGCTGGTTTGCAGAAGGTGACTGGCGATTAAGGCGAAGTGCCTGGAGTACTGGCTCAGCTGGGCCTGAGAATCCCTGCATTCCTGTCCCCCTCCTTTCTGGACCAGCTGATAGTCCTTCACTGAGGGCAGGAGGGGAAAGCAAAAAGCGTAAGGCCAGTGCTCCGTGCAGCTGCGCTTTCCCCCCAGTGCACATCTCACTAAAGCAAGCGCTGCAGATCCTAAGACACAAACCTCCCTGATGTCAATCTTAGCCAGTGTAGAAGGCCAGCTTGCAGGTGAGCACAGAAATGGTGCTGTTGGCTATAGGAGCTGTTCAGATGACGATGACCCACAGTGACCCTCTGAACAAGGGCTCTGTCCTGAGCCAACTCACTGACCCAACAAATGACCCAGTGCCACAGTCACTGTTTCAATCTATTTAATCCAAGGTCTTCCTCTCTTGTGCTGTCCATCTACCCTTTCAAGCATGATGTCCTTCTCCAAGGACTGGTCCCTGGCAACATGCCCAACCTATTAACCAAGAGATTGAGGGAGACAATTCACATGCCTAACCTACAAGTAAATTATCTCCAAAAGTGTTAAAGAAAATTCTCTAAAATAGTGCACATGAGACTTCCAGAAGATTGACAAAATATATAAAACAAGGGTTCTAAGACACTGGCCAGCAGGCTGTGCAGGACTACAACTCCTGACAAGGACACAAAGTAGGCGAGTCTTCTTACAGCACCAATTGTGTGTGGGCACATTCCAGGCTGCAAAGGTAGTGGGAAGCCAATTAGAGTCAAGTAGTCTCAATGAACTGAGTGGACAGAGATCCAAGGGAAGCCAACATGACTAAAATTTAGGGGGGCAGAATATCACCGGGAAGGGAGTAACGCAAGTGCATGCATGTGCACATAGGCACACACACAGAATGGTGATCCAGAGAGCTCAAAGTATTAACTAGAAAAGGGTATAGAAGCACCAAAAATTAGTATTCCTGGGACTCACATAGAACTTGGATTAGTCTGTGTCCCACCAGGGAGAGGGAAAGAGCTTTGTAGTACAAGGATCACAAAGAAGTCTCCTCGGAAGGATACTGCTTTAGTAACAAGTGTGGTATTGGAGAAGAGCAGTGACCATCCCACGACTGCCAAAAGAACAAACAGGTATGTCTTGGAGAAGGTGCAGCCAGAGAGCTCCTTAGAGGTAAAGATGATGAAGCTTTGTCTCACATACTTTGGGCATGCTGCTAGGAGAGGCTATTCAACGGAAAGGGACATCATGCCTTGAAAGGTGGAGAGTAGGTGAAGGAGAAGACCCTCAACCAGGTAGACTGATAGGGTCACTGCACAGTAGGCTCTAGTGTGTCAGGAAGTGTGAGGATGGCACAGGGTAGAAGCGGTCAGATCTGTTGTAGGGTCGCTGTGAGTCATGCTTGACTAAATGACACCTAACAACATCAAAGGCTGCTTAGATTCTTCCTAACAAAGCTTAAAACAAGGTTCTGACTAATTGCAGATAACTTATTAGCATATTGTTGTTGTTGTGCTGTCAAGTCAGAACTAACCCACAGCTGACCCTCTAGAGAACTTCAATAGCAATTAATCACATGGGAGGAGATTACCCATCCTTCTCCCATGGGCAGCTGGTGGATTCAAATCACATGTTTTTGCGACTGCAGCACAGCTTCTTACCACTAGGCCACCACAACTCCCACTTAGAGCATACCAAAACAAAATCTAACACCATTTAAAGTAATACCAAAAAATCTGGTATCAATAATGTGAAATCCATGATTGGTATGCATTAAAAAAAAACGACCAGGCATCCAAAGCAGCACTGAAATGCTTATACTGGCAAAGAAGAAAGATCTCCATTTAGTGGTCCAGACTTTCACCTTAAGAAACTACAGAGGAAAAGAGCAATCACCCAAAGAAGGAAATGAATAATGACAGAGGCAGAGAGTTAAAAAATCAAAACAAAACCCAAATAAACCCAACAACAAAACAGAAAAAGTAACATCAATGAACCATAAGCCAGCCCTGTGAACAGATCCAAAAAAGTGAAAAAGCTCTCTCAATTTAATGGTCTAGGAAATAAAAGAGAAGACACATATTACCAAAGTCGGCATGAAAGAAGGCAGCTGATACCTTAGCACGTTGAAAGAAACAGAAGACCTGCATTTACTCTTTGTGGTACAAACAGCTCACACACTCAATGCCTAAGCAAAGGCTGGGGATTCAGGCCACCCAGAGGCACCGCAGCAGAAAGGCCTGGACATCTACATCCAAGCACCAGCCCCTGCTGAGCTCAAGGAACACAGCTCTGCACTGACACTCAGTCAGAATCAACTCACTGGAGAAACTAATTGTTGGGAATGTCACGTCAGGCTAACTGAGAACACAGAACTATACACACAAAGGAAGCGTGGATCGGAGCCTCCAGGGTGATCCAATCCAACCACATATGTCAGAAATAAGGGCAAAGCAGGGCATAACTTTCTTAAAAAAACAAAACAAAACAAAACAAAAAGCCAACCTAAAAATAAATCACATGCAAGGGCAAGAAATAGGTATCTACATTAATTTTAGGGGACCTAGGGATCAGACCATTTTCTTTCATTCTTAGGAAAAAAAGAATCATGCTTGGGACCTGTTTTTCTTTTCCGAGTTTTGACATCGACGATCACAGCCCTGTTCTTCTCCGTGAAGTGTTTCAGGATGATCACGTTATGGGGTTCATTGGCATTATCCATATAGACACAGGGGGTTCCCACACAGAGGACCTAGAACGTGACAGAGAGGCAGAAGAGGCAACTCAACAGCACGCTGAGACAGCAAAGGGTGCATCAGGCATATGCCAGTCCCTCTCGTTTGTGTCTTTGTCTTCAACAAGCACCCAAAGCTATGTTCTTTTCATCTCCAAAAGCAAAGGGCCTGGCACAGAAATGACTTAGTGTTGGCTAGATGAAGCCAGGCTTTACAATTTCCTTTTTGGAATCAGTTGAAAGCCATAAAGATTAGCAATGAGAACCAGATGAATACCTAAGCGAAAAACAAGTGTACTTTCTAGTAAGTTAAACTAGTAATTACTTATTATTTAAAGTCAATTAAACAAGTAACGACAATATCCCCACTTAACCTTCTGTTGTTGGTACTGATTTGCAGCAACGCCACAGGACAGTGTAGTACTACCTGAAAGGGCATCCAAAGCTGTGACTCTTTACAGGAGCTGACTGCCATCTCGTTCCCCTGGGGAGGGGCTGGTGAGTTCAAACTACCAACATATAGGTTAGCAGCTGAACACTTTAACCACTGCACCATCAGCGTTTCCTAAAGCCAACAACTACTGGCTAATAAAACGACTCAAGTGACTAAACTGTTGTTACTACAATCTGAACAACTCGTTCCATAAAATACCCATCCTGTAAAAGCAAATTATAAAACTGAAAAAAAAACACAAACCCCAAAAAACAAACCACAACCATACCTTGCAAACATACATGCTTAGAGAGGCCTCAATGTGTGTGAGGAAAATCAAACAGGTGGGTGGACTGATGTACCTGAGGGAAGCCGACCAAAACCAGCAGGGTGAAGATGTTGGTGTGCTTCAGCTGGAAAGGCAGCTGTTTGATGCAGTGGTCAGTGAAGGTGGTGATGACGTCACGCCACAGTGGGGCGCTGTTGAGTGACCGCAGGATCTCGGCCATGGAGCACGCCCAGTCTAAGCCCACCCGGCTGGAAGGCAAGAGCTCTGTTAGGGCGCAGTACACGCGGCTCCCAACACAAGGAGTCAGGGCTCTCTGCACTCTGCAGCAGCCCCTGAGGCCAGCTGAAGAGCACTCGAGCCAGCTGAGCAACTACCAGAATGATGCCGCCCATGAAATGGTATGGGGGGGGGGGGGGGGGCGGAATCAGGGTCCAGTACCTATAAACTCAGTCTAAAACTGGGTTTAAAAAAAGTCTTTCTCTCTCTCTCACAAACACACACACACACATTCACATGCAAGAAAACTCTTTGGAAGGAAACATATGAAATTGATGTATTAATATGATACAAAGCAGAGTGCTCCCCCCCTCCTAGCTTTCTACTTTCCAAATTTGGAACTGTGCTTATACTACTATGACGATGAAATATATCCATTTTCTCCAACCCCCTAGGCCTTCATATATTGCTCTGGGCTTCACCCTATCAGTGCTGAGCTGGCTGACTGACCATGCTGATTTCCCATGCTCTTAGGAACAGCTTTACTGAGGGCTGACAGCACAGCAAATAAAACCAGTTCTCCTCTCACTAGAGACACCCAGCAGCACTATGCCACTCAAGTTAATCAGGGTCAGATCAACAACCTTACAAAACGAACAAACGCCAAATGGGGCAGGGTCAGGGAAGGCTGGCTGGGCAAGAACCAAGGCTACCTGTCCAAGCACACAGCTCCCAGGCTGAAGAGCAGGTGGGTGGTCTTCCAGCCATCTGGCACAGCACTGTCTCCGGAGGCAAACAGGTTGTGTTTGGCCGAGAGGACCTTCATCACGGCAGCATCTACCTCTGCTGGCAAAAGGCGGACTATTAACTGGCCCAGAAGGCCAAGTGTGAGGTGGTACGTTTCATTCAGGTGGCCTGCGTTGGAAATGATGACCTGGAACATGAGTGGGAGGACGTGCTCCAGGTCTATGAGGGGCACCGTGGGACCCTGAGGGGGCGGGAGGGAGAGGGGGAGAGGGGGAGAGGGAGAGAGGGAGAGAGGGAAAGAGGGAGAGAGGGAGAGAAAGAGAGAGAGAGAGAGAGAGAATATGAATTTGCTTCAGTACAAGAGGCAGCCGGTGCTGCCAGAGGAACACACCCTATCCCTTCAAGTGTTATCTGTAAGGGGTCTACTGCAAATAGAACAGTGCAATGTTGTTGCTGTTGATTGTCATCGAGTTGAGCACAACTCATAGTGACCCTATGAAAAAAGGGCCTGAAGCCTTTCTATAACTATCAACATTTACCAAAGCAATGGTTTGCAGTAATTGCCATGCTATCATCACAAGTGAAAATAGGCCTTTTTTCAAATCTCATCTGGAATCTTACTAATTTCCTTTTACCTTGAAAAATAAACTTAAAAATTTGACTGGACATCCTCACCCTCATTCTTATATCCTCATTGTAAAAGAATTTAAATAACTCAGAAATACATTAACAGTTAAATCTCTCCATAATCCATCCATCCATTCCTCTACGCTGTCAAAGTCCAGGAGGTAAGAACTGTTACTAGTCTTCTAAACCTTTCCCCTATGCATATTTCTATATTATAGTAGACAACATCATTTCATCAATGGTAAATTTCTTAAGTGTGGCTATACAGCACAATGTTTTTAGAGATGCTGGATTATCTAAGGTGAAGCATCAACGACGACTTCAACCTAATTTCAGAAGTTCAGCAACCTTCTCTCAAAATACATATATATTTTTTCACTCATTCCCATCAAGTTAGAACTGATTCATAGCTGACCGTCTAGTAGAGGATATAAATTGCAAGGGAGGAGACTGTCCATCTTTCTCCTATGAAGCTGCTGGTGGATTTGAACTGCCCACCTTTAGGTTGGCAGCACAACTTCCTACCCACTAAGGTACTAAGATATCAGAGTGAGACACACACACACACACACACTCTCTCTCTCCCCCCCCCCCTGACCCCCTCTATTCCTCCCTCCCTTATAATCTCACATGTACTCCCAGAGATGAAAGTATCTTTTTAAAAACAATGCATTAGACCATCTCTTCTTACAAAATGAAAAGGCCCACTTCTCCTACCGACTTTAACGGAGGTAACATGGCTGCCAGGAGTCCTAATATCCTCTTCTGGGAGCACTCAGCGAACACCTGCTCAGGGCTTGGAGTCACCACCTTTTCTTCTACTGGTTTCTGAGACACTCCTTCTGAATTTTCAACATCTGCATGTGAAACACCAGAATTTCAGGTTTTGTCTGGGGTTACATGAACACAAAGCAGCAAGAAGAGGAGCACATAAACTGTGCCGCTTCCAAGATGATGCTGGGATTTTCAAAGTCCTGTTGCTGAACAAAGGCTCAGGTGTTCCCTTCCTGAGGGGCTTCTTCCGGACGATCCTGCTGCTTTACTGTCTCTCATCATCCTTTGTTCCCTCCACCTCCTCTGCTCTCAGGTGCTCACAGCATTTAACCACCTTTGAACACTCTAAACTCATTCATCATTTACTGTCTTTTTTGTCATCTAGATTTTTGTTTTTGTAGGTGGACCTGAAAATGTTTCTGGAGCACAGCAGGTGCCCAGTAAATATGAGAATGAACAAACCAGGATATAATAATTCTCAGAAACAAACTAGCATGGATTTTGATGGCTTGAAGTGGAGTATTTGCTGTTTGTGGAACTGAGAACATTAAGTACTGCGGAGATGAGCTCAGCCCACCAACCAGGCGGAATGGCTGATGGCACTCCTGCCCACCCTCCCTCACAGAATGCACAGATGGGAAGAGCCTGAACCCCTGGGCGCCTGCTGTGAGGAGGAAATGGAGGTTTGCTTCAAGTCTCTTGAGCTCACAGCATGTCTACTTCATGGTCATCAGTACTCCTAACACAGCTCTGACCTTGTGGCTACTGTACTCAGTCCACCTGAGAGCCCGTAACCTCGCAGGCACCTTTGTCCTTGAATGTACCTTGTGTTTTACCACCTTGCAGGCTGTGCTCTGGTGGTTTAGTCTGTAGGGAGTTACGTTGCTAACACAAAGGTGGTGCCTCTCTGGAAGTTTGAATCCACCAGTAGCTCTGCAGGAGAAGATGAGTAATCTCTTCCTGTGTGATTTACAGGCTCCAAAGACCCACTGGAGGGTCAGCGACGATGTAGTTCCAACTCATTGGGAATGAGCAGAGAGAACCTTTGCTCATGTTCTTTCTACTTTGAATGCCTTTTCCCACAGCAGACTGATTCTCCCAGAGCAAAGGACTTTTACATTTCTTCCTTCAGAAGGTTTTAGTGGATATAATCTGTTCTGGACAAACAGCAATGTCACTGCTAACACTCTACTTACTCATCATGTATTTACTGAGGACCTGCTGAACTCCACAACCATTTCTAGGCACTTGAGATACATCACTGGCCAAACAAAAATCTATATGGCAAAACAAATAACCTCTCTACTTACTCTTCTGAGTAGAATCACATTCTGCCTCAAATTAGGTGCCTGCATTTTTGTCTATAATCCCCTAGACTATAAGCTCCATGTGGGCAGGAATTCTCTGTCTCAGTTCATCCCCAGCGCCTAGTGCTTGGAACCTAGAAGGTACTTAATAAATACGGAGAGAAAGAAATAAGTAAGGTGAGAAAGAAGGAAAAAAAGGGAAAGAAGACTTTCAAAACATTATCAGCGCCATCATCACACAACTGAGAAACCACAAATGCCTATTTGTAGTCAATTTTGACTTGAGTGCACCAAACAGCAGAGAGACTGTGAGTGTGTGTGTAAGATAAAAATGGTTAAGGAAAGACGCTTTTACCAGGAGGTCCTGAAGGAGCACTAGTATTTGCAGGCGAGTCTGAAGTCTGGGTCTGCCGTGAAGGATCCTTCATTAATGATACGCTGTCATCTGCCTTCTTTGTCTTGTTGCAGTCTCCAGGTCTGACTTCCTTATGAGCAGCTTCCTTTCCCTAAGAACAATAGTGGGTGTAAAAGAATGAAGGTCTTTTAAACAAAAGTTTACTCCATTAATATCATAACACATTGTTTTTAACATTAGTCAGCTATCAAAACCAAAAAGTTTCATTTCATGACAGTCTAGAGCCTGCTTCTATAACGCTCTCTTTGGCCTGGAAACCTATGAGGGTAGTTCTACTATGTCCTACAAAATCACGAGGAGTTGGAATTGACTCAGTGACAGTGGGTGTGATTTTGGGTTTTTGAAGGTGAGAGCAGACTCCTGAATATACGTGATGGATTTTCAAAAGTTAGTTAAGAAATTAACCATGTCTCATAATCTAGGCACTAATTTGGCCCAGGATGTTTAGGAACCTTCATAAGGCCCAATTCTGAAAAGTCTCTTACTAAATACTCTACTTGTGAATCCTTAAGGAGCCAATCCTTCAGTGCATGCCTCTGTACCCTCAAATCAGTCATTTAAGTTTCCTTCCAAAACAGAATTACAATTACCAGAAGGATGATAGTACTGGATTAGAACAAAGAATGCTGCCAGGGATATTCTGATGCCCTGCAATACTGCTAAACGAGAGAACCTCTGAATAGGGCTATGCCTGAGCCTGTCTCCAAAAAATGAAGACCACTTAGTGATGAAGCTCAAAGACTAGCCTCCATGATGCAGTATCTATAAAAACAAAGTAAGCAGCCATTCTCGCTACTGGTCCTAGCAAATAACATCATGTGAAGTGGAAAAGGGACTGAAGTTGTTAAGGATTCTATCTCACCTGATCTATACCCAGCAAATATGCAAGCAGCAGCCAAGAAATCAAATGACATACTGCAATGGGCAAATCTCTTCCAACGGCCTCTTTAAAATGAGTAAGAATGATGATGCCATTTTAAAGATGACAGTGCATCTCACCCATGCATGTGAGTCAGAGGAGCCTCTTTCAGGTTTTCAAAGGATGGTTTTTCAGATATAGATTGCCAGGCCCTTCTTCCAAGGTGCCTCTAGGTAGAATGGAACACTGACCTTTTGGGTAGGTTAATCATTTGTACCACTCAGGAACTTTAGATACAAAATATTATTAATCCAGGTAGAGGCAGATACCATAACATGGAACTTAAGAAGAACACTGCTTGCAGTACTTTAAAAATGGACTCTATATATGTAACATGTAGCACCTTCCAGCAACTATATGGTATAGATATTGTTATTATCTTCATGTGATAGATTAAAAAAGGGGCAAAAAGGAGATGTGGTAAACTGAAGGGATCTGAACCCAGCCTGCCTGGGTGCAGGCTGTACTCTTCACCCCTCTCTCTACACGCTGCCTTATGTGGATGGTTCTCCCTTTGGACACAGTCAAACAAAGAATTGCTACTTACATTGCAGTGCACAAAAGGGCCTGCCTCTGGGGGCTCCTCAGCATCCTGGACAACCTTCTTCTCCAGCTGCTTCCCTGATGTGCAGGTGGGCAGTGGGCCGGGCAGGGACTGGTGATCTGGGGTAGATTCACCATCTGGCAATACACCAAGAAGCGCCAGAGCTTTCAGACCTATATAAAAGACAGGAAAGAGAAGGGTTGAAGGGGTTCTTTCCTATAAATGAAATAAGTCATTTTGCAGCTAAATGGAAGAGGCCAACTGAGTTCTACACAAACCAAACCAGAGAGTCCTCAATCTAAACATCCGCAGCGCTCTAAATCTCGTCAGCTCTTGATCTCAGACGGTCAAAGTTTAGGCAGCGAGAGATCTAACCCTAATTCTAAAAGGCACAAGACAAAAACACAACAGGATGGTTTGTGTTAATTTCAGAAAACTCTAAGAATTAAATCTTGGTAATACCACATAACTAGAGTTCTAAATTCCCACTGGCATACAGATAACAAAATAGCTCTGAAGCACTTTATTAGCCACTGGCACTACAGGCCTAATTTCTCTCACGCTTTCTAGGACAAGGAGTCTATAATGCTGAGAAAAATGTAGCCACTTTAGAGGTTCAACATACAAGTTATTTTCTACTGGGTTACATGTTGGGTTGCTAAGCAAGAGGTCGCCAGTATGAATCCACCAGCTGCCATGTGGGAGCAAGAGGAGGTAGTCTGCTCTGGTGGAGACTTAACAGCCTCAGAAACCCAACAGAGAGAAGTCATGAGTCAGAAGTGACTCAACAGCAGGGTGTCTCATGGTTTGTTTTTTTATTTCTCAGTAGAGTAAAACTCCTTTAGACATTTTATTAGTAAAATTATTTTACCTGTAAATAGCCCTCATCTAAAATGTGTGGAATTTGTTCTTCAAGGTAAAAAATGTCTGACTTCACTTTCAAATTTAAGTTCGGTAAGTTCAAATAGAAAAACACTCCATCTAATTCACCTCAAGGCTTGAATTTACTATTTTTAATACCTTCACATAAAAATCCTAGAGATGTCAACTGCTATTTGAATGCATTTGAGAGTTCTAGGATTAAGTTCCACACCAGAGGCAGCTCTTCGTAAAGAAAATTGTTTTATGGGCACTCTGGTGGCTCAGCATGCAAGGAGTTGTGCTGCCAACCCAAAGGCCATGCTTCTCTAGGGGTTCAAATCTCAGAGGGAGAAAGACGGGATGATCTCCTCACACGATTTACAGCCTCAGAAAATCCAGTGAAGGTCAGCTATGACTTGGCCCCAAATGGACAGCGATGAGCTGGAGCTCTGACGTGAAGCACAGGGGCCTGGCAGTGATCAGGGTTAAACATGAGGCTGCTAACCACAAAGGTCATGTCTCCATGTGAGAGAGGTGAGGCAGCCAATCTGCTTCTGTAAAGGTTTAAGCCTCAGAAACCTACAGAGCAGTTCTGCTCTGTTTTAAAGGGCTGCCATGAGCATGAACCGACTCGAGGGCAGTATTTTGTTCTGGTTTGATTTAGGTAGAGCGTGTTGTGAGCTTTCCCTGACAAGCACCAAGGGCTGGGGTGATTTCTATGCATGAGAAACCTTTTCCCTGGTGCGCCTTCATCAGGCAGTCCCCGATGAGCTGCGTGCACTGGCTCCGCAGGGTGATGGCGCTGCTGTGGGCCTGAGGGTCCAGCTTCTCCCCATCCACGTCCTCGGTACTAGCCAGGTGGGCACTGTAGAGTGCCAGGGCAGCAAAGAGCAGCCAGGAGTAATTATGGATGTAGGGCTGGATGAGTCGCTGCCGGTCGCTGATCCGAATGGTCACCATCGGGTGGGCTGTGATGCTGTGGGTGGGCAAATGGCTGCAAGGGAAGACCATTTTAAGACCATTCAGCCTTGGTGAGATTTCAAAAAAGAGAAGAGGGTCTGAGAGGAACACATGCATGGTGATATCCAGACATGTCTCATGTAAGGCTGTGGGTTCTGACCTCTCAGAATCACAGAATCTGCTGAAAATTTAAAGAGAAGCACTTCATCTCAGAAAAATGGGCAAATACAAACGCTATACACATCACTCAGGATTCCACATAACTCCCAGAAGACTATCTATAGAAATGAGGTTAAGTAAGTCTTCTTTGCTGTGAACGATGGAAGGTGTGATAATAGCATTCTGGCTACATAAGAAAATGCCTGTAATTTTTAAGAGATACAAAAGCAGCATATAGGAAAGAAATGATGGGAGGTCTGGCATTTGTTTGAAAATATTTTAATAAAGAAAAAGAAATAAACTAAACTTAAACTAAGCAAGGATAGTAAACCCTTCAAAATTGCTGAATGTGGGTAATGGGCATATGGGAATTTGTTGTACTAGTCACTTTGTACTTTAATATGTTTGAATTTTTTTTTAATAAAAAGTTGTTTTGGTATTTTTTTAAAGTAAAAAGCAAAACAATAGAGGCAGAAAAGGCTACAGGGCAACAGGCCATCAAAGACGTACCCATATGAGTATTTCTTTGCTGCATAGCATCCATAGCAAAGATCAAAGTCGTCACACACATTGCAATTCATCCTCCTGCCTATGATCAGACCTTGGCAGTGGTCACAGGCAAACTCCATGTTTACCATTTCATGGTCATCCCCATGGCCCTCAGGCTTCACTCCACCTGGGAGAAAGAAATAGCAGCATGAGGTGGGTGAAAGCAAAGGGTTCCTAAAGAGACTAGCCTCCAAATCCAGCCCCATTTGCAGCTCAGTACAGCAGAGCCACAGGCATGGTTCCCTCTGGGCAGCAGGGCCACAGCAGGGCTCCCTCTGCACAGCAGGGCCAGAGCAGGGCTCCCTCAGAACAGCAGGGCACACTGCTAGGTGGCTCTGAGCTTATGAGAGCAAAGAATTGCTCCAGAAAGGGCACAGGGATATTGACCCTTTGCAGAGCAACAAACTAATAACCAAATCAAATAACCAATTCCTGTTATGACCGGTATGGAAGAATGAAACCCACATGCCAGTATGTGAGCTGTCTCTCATACTCCTTCTCTGAAAAATACTTAGCACCTATTGGTGCAGTTTTGGTGGCCTCATAGTTAAAGAATGTGGCTACTAAGTGAAAGGTTGGCAGTTCAAAGTGACCAGCTGCTCCACGGAAGAAAGGCATACAGCTTTGGAAACCCGAGGACCACTATGAGTGAGAACAGACTGTGGGGTAGGAGGGTTTTTCATTTTTGTTTTTCAATGCATTGAGGTGCTAGACAATTGTTAAGGGAGAGAGGAGGAATGGAGAAAAGTCTAGAAAATGTATTAAGTCATGAGTATGGTAGTTTCATATTTCACTAAAATAAAGTGACCCAATAATGATGAAGTAATTCTTCCCCCCTCCCATCTTTTTGCCCACTGCCCCGCTCGATGAAGTAATTCTTAAAGTCAGATATTCAAGAGTCACTAAAGTTGATTTTTCTTAGTCCAGAATTACAGATGAAAACAGATGCCATAATCCCAGACCTGGTGAGTGAAAGAGAATGCTTGTCTCAAAGGAGTCTCTAATTTCCTCCTGCCACAGACCCTCCTTGCATTCCTCAAGTCTAATCCATTCCCATTCCCACTATCACATAATCCAGGCATTGATCCCTTCATGATTACTATAATTTCCTAAAGGATACTCTCATATATACTAAGTAGCCCCTCTCTAGCACAGTTCTGATCATATTAATACCACATGTGAAAATCCTTTTCCAGTGTCTGGAGACAGAAGTTCAAATTCTTTAGTCTAACATCACCCCAGGGTCCTTCAATCTGCCTCCCATCCATCTGACTGTATTACCCAGCTACGTGTCGAGGACGCCTAGATACATATACCATGATGCTCATACCTTTGAATTGGGTGTTTGTGGACCTCCTAATGGTTAACCCTCTCAAGGTTTTCTTTACGTCATCAAGTTCTAACTTTTCCCAGAGAACTATCAATGGTTGGTCAGAGACCATATCCCTATGGTTCAGAGACATATCTCACCTCTTCCATAAGTCTTCCCTGCATGTATCTCTTTCCTACACACACTGCGAGTGATTTATATTACTGAATACTTCCAGAAATAAACTACAAAATTCCCTTGTAATTGGACACACACTTGAATACCCATTTGGTGGATATGCCAGTTTCCCTGTAAAGGTTTCCAGGACAAAGATGGTGTGTTTTACCTCTGGGCCAAGCACATCAGGACCCCCACTGTACACTACTGCTGATCTGCTTTACCTCAGCATCTACATATAAGTTTTGAACATTTTTTAAAGTTTGCTTTTTAGGGGTTGTATTGTGCTTTATATAAAGACTGATGGACTCAGAGGAAAACTGTTTCCTAGACACGTACAGACACACATTCACTGTTCTGAATGTTTAACACATGCCTACAAGCCAGTACACAGGATGATGTAAGAGATGTCAGACAGCAGAGCTCTAGAGTTTTTCATCTGGCTGATTTGTGACAAGTCAGAGAATACTACAAGGCAATAAAACCACTGCCAAGGCATCATGTCTGATACAGAAAGACAGAGCTGCCTCGTGGGGTTTCCTTGGCTATAAATCTTCACAGAAGTACATTGTGCATTTTGTTTGTCAACCAGCTGGTACATTCAAACCATTGATCTTTCATTTAGTGGCTGAGTGCTTAAGCACTGCACCCACCAGCAGGGTTCCTGGGCTGTGCAATGGAAGTTTAAAAAAAAAAATTCAGAAAGAGAAACAGTCACTTCTGAATGTGGGGCACTGAGCCCGTGAAGATTACCGAGGAAGCAGGTTTTGCAGAGGTCCATGTCACTGCACTGCAGACAGCGATAGCGGTGCCAGGGGGCGATTTCATCACAGCCATCACAGGAAATGTCCACATTCAATAGGTCGCAGTAACGAGCAATAAACATGTGCATCTGTAAGGTGAAATAAATTAACCAACAGATTTTTCTAATGTGGCCATAGTTCATTAATCAATTCATTCCTTCAGTAGGTACTCAGTGGGTACTTAGGAGGCCCCATGCGCTAGTCTACATGCAAGGATTAGATGACTGAGCTGAGTGTCTGGTCAGGAATGCCCTGAGCACACAGACGACTAAGCACACTGTAGGAGAAGGGCTTCGGTGGGCAAATGTAGGAGTTTAAAGAGGACACACAAGAGGGATAATAACGGGAGAGAGGAAAGTCAGGGGAGGCTTTCTGAAGGAGACCACTCAGCTAAGGCTGAGACAAAAGTACAAATTCACTGAGTGAAGGCTGTGTGAATGCCAGATAAAAACAGAAGTTCTAGAGAGAGCAAGGCGTTCTAGCAGTACAGTACATGTGGAGTTGCGCTGCTAACCCCCCGGCTGTGCCCACTCAGGTAGTTCGAATCCAGCAGTGGTGCCAACGGAGGAAGATAGGCAATCTCCTCTTAGGCAATTTACAGCCTCAAAACCCAACAGGAGGGTTAGCTAAGAATCAATTCTGACCTCAAGTCAGACCTCAAGTGGGGAACAATGAGTTTGAGTGAATTTGTGAGGGGGAAAGACAAGAGCTCATGAAATTGCTATTAATTCAGTACAGAGACTATACAGAACAGAGGAGGAGTAAATAAATCCAGTTAAAGATGTTCAACAGCAAAGGGCCTTGAATACTAACTAGCCCAAGGGGCCATTGACAACTGTTGGTAAATACAAGAGTCCCAGGATCAGAGTGAAGTATTTTGAAAGTTCCTATAATTGTAGAGTGGCAAACGGACTGAGGAGAGCAAAGTCAGAGGCCAGGAGGCTGCCATGATGGGAGCTGTTGAAATAACCTCATGACAGGACAGGCTGGGCCTGAGGCAGTCAGCAGGGCTGGGAAAGCAGGCGGAGTTGAGGGGTAGTAGGGAAGGAGCAGTGAGGAGTGACTAACTGGACTTGGCGGTGAGTGAGGAAGAGTGTTGAGGAACAGCATACACCTCTGATTTGCTCTGCTGGGAAAGTATCGAGTTCCCAGATACAGGAAACACTACAAAGAAGCACCTGAAAGAATATCCTCTGGACAGAGAGGAGGGCTAATATTTCATAGCAAGCAGATTGTTTTATAGGAAAGTACTCAGAAGCTAAAGTACGGTTTCTTTTTAGGGCCTGGGAATGAGGTCAATAAGTCAGCAGTCACCACATAGTGGACCACAGCAAACAGGTGAGGTCACCCTACAACTACAGAATGACTACAAGTAAGGTATTAACAAACGGGAGAGAAAAAGGGGTTAGTCACAAAGGCAAAGTATCATCCATGCACCCAGAGGTGCCATATAACATAGTGGTTGGCACACAGCAGGCACTCGAGACTGGGAAAACACGTGAATCTGTCGCCAGTGGCGGGCAGAACATCTAATGTAGAGGTGGATGTGGCAGGCTCTGAACCTGATGCCTTCAGACATTTGAATCATGCAACTCTCTGTACATATGGGGTTAATTTCATGTTTACTGGGAAACCTGATTAAAATGTGACTTCTCATGTTGCTCTGCCTAGGACACCAGAGTCCAGGCCCTTGAGGAATTTTCTTTTTCACTGTCAATCAGTAAACTGGAAACTAATCTGATACATCAGACAAGTTACCTGGAGTCCACTTCCAGGGGAGGGATTTGTTGAGTGTGGACAAGTCAGGATTCAGAGCCATGCTGGTTAAAGATCACCACGCTTGGTGACAGCCAACTCACTAAGGTACTAAATGCCACCAGGGCCCTCTTGCGGCCCCTAAAACTTTCAGCACACCCCCAGGCACACACACTCCTTTCCAAATTCCTACCAAGACACTCTGATTGCTCTAGCTGAGAGGTCTTACTTTCCTCTGCTTCTTTGGATCTTCCTGGGCTATTTTTTCATACCAGGCTTCAAACATGCCATCCTGACACTCATCCATCCATTCTGAATTCTGCTTGGCATCAGCAAGCTCATCTTCTTCACTCCATTGGCTGAAAGAAGGACACAAAGAGAGAAAAGCATGCCTCTCCTGATAATCAAGGAAAGTGCTGGTTAATAGACTGTGTGTACTACGGGTCTCATATACTGGGCACTTTTAAACCTGCTTAGCGCAGTCCATTTGCTCTTCAAAGCACCAGGATTTGACAGGTATTTGATAGATTTATACCACTAGAGGTTCTTCCAGTGAAAAATGACATGGAAGGCTAAGTCTATGTGGCATAATTCCAACTGACAACCACAGTGGTGAATCTACTATGTGCCAGGCACTTGGGCCAAATAAATCAATCTTGTTTTTCCAAAGTTTTTATTTTGATGTGTTCAGCACCTACTGTCGGAAACAATCTGAGAAGGGCATCAGATGTGCAGCTTCAGGCCTTGACACTAGCTTCTCTAAGACCTTGATCCAGCTCTAAGCCCAGGTCATCAGTTTCCTCATTTCAAAGACAGAATTTCAGGTAGATAACCTCACTTCTTTTAGAGTCAAAACTATAAACTGTCCAAATTTCCCCTTACAGTTAATTTTTAACAACTGGAATTTTAAACACTGAAGGATTTGCTCAGTATCAAATGCAAAACATTTACCAACCACTAAATATACTCATTCATTCAAGCACTCCAATAAATTGATTTTATATCAATTCAGCAATAGCTTTAGGTTAGATGTTGAAGGGCTTTGAGGAGAACGTATGGTCCTTTCCCCAAGGACTGCACCATGCAGATCCAGACAGTGGTGAGGAGACAGTCTGCTGAGGTCCCATTCACGCCATGCTGTGTCCTCCCTCTGCCCACAGCACCCTCTGACAGTGGACAATGGCTGAGGTTAGGTGCATAAGGAGACCGCTTTATTTCTTGTTCCCAGAACAGCTATTCTTTAAACATACAACTTATCCCAGTGTTCTATTAATTTCTTTCCTTCCAATTCCCTCCTCTTAACCCTTATTCTTCTTCTTGCAGTCTCTGCTTTCTTTTTTGCACACGTTAAGTGGTTTATGAGTCAGTGAACAGAACAGGTGGACAGTCGCTCATTTCATGGAATGAAAAAGAAAACAACCATGTTAATTTTTTTCTCAAACTTTTAGTGTTTAAATGTACAAGAAGTTACCAGACTCAAATCACTTGCATGTACTGTAACTAAAAAATACAGACAAGGATTCTCTGATTTTTCAAGTGATATACTAGGAATTGCAGAAAATGCAAAGGTTCTTTACCCTCACCATTTACAGCACATTCACTGACCATTTGCCCCACACTACCATGTTCTAGGCACAGCTCTACACATTTAAAAACATAACTCATTTTATATTCCAATAAGCCTCTGAGGCAGTACCATTATTATCTCCTTTAAAGATGAGGAAGCTGAGGCACAGAGAGCTTAAGACTGCACAGTCAGTATGTATGGAGCAATGTTCAGATATTCCACAGATGGTCTAGCTCCAGAGTCTGCACTTCCACTTCTCCCACTATGGTCCCTGCATTTCATAATCTACTTGGGAATTCAGCATGTGAGATGGAACGCTCACCTGATCACACTATCATGGATGCTTATGTTTTCTTGTGACATGCTCATTAGGAGATCTGGTAACTGAATATCGACAAAGAAGGAAAGATCATTGGGTTCCCAACCCATATCCAGGAGATGAAGCAGTGCAGTCTGAACACAGGATAAGGCAGGCAGCAAGGATCTAAACACACCGCAAAGTGACAATTAGCCAGGCTGCCCATTATCAACAGGCACAAAAGAAAGACCACCAAGTGGTGAGCTGGTTTGTTCGCAATTAGGAATCAAAAGAGAACATCAGATTTCTGGTTAAAATTCCTTTAATTTCCTTTCGAGTTTCTCATACTCTATACAGAACCTCCCTCCTTCATAGGACAGCTTAAGCAAGCAAATTCTGAAAGGTATAAAAAAAAGTTTCTACCCTGTTAGGTATGCTACCAAGACAAAGGTGGGTGATTTTAATCTGCAGCCGTCAGGCCTGGTTTTAATTGTTTTTTGTCAAACATTCTTCTAAGTGGTATAGCCCTGGTCTGTCCATGTGCTGTACAGAGGTAACTCATGGTTGCTGTGATGCTAAACACTGTGATACTGATGTGTCAAATGTGATAATGGTTACCCATGGTGGACAGTGTTTGGTGGAGCTCCCTGATTAAAAAAGCCTGGAAGCGAGAGTGGCATCCACTTCTAAAATAGCTTGCCCTCAGAAACTCTATGAACATGGCAAAACGATGAAAGTTATACAAGTGTTCAGGTCTTTTGTTTACAGGGTTGCTATGAGTCATCTATGACTCTATGGCACCTAACAACAACAATAACAGCAAAAACAACAATCCTATCAGGAAAAACACAGTGAGCATTTTATGGACTGAATAGTAAAAACCATCTTATGATACCCAGCAGGATCAAGGCCAGCCACAAAGGTAGCCAGGACATGCAACTTAAATATACATTAAAAAACCCATTTTATTTATACCTAAATCATCTTACTAAGGCTAGAGAATGGCTATAAAACAAAATTCTAAAATGTAATGAATTATGTATGATACATAAAAAGCAGAATAGAGGCTAAATATACGAAGTTACAGATTAGATGAAGACCTGACTCATCCCCTTAAAAGAATATATATATGTACTATAAAGAAAAAGAGCAGGAGAAAATGTACCAGTAAGATAATAACAGCTCTAGATAATAAGTTATTTTTTTACTACATTCTTTTTGCTTTTCTCTATTTTCAACAGAACTTGTATTTCTTTTGTAATCAGAAAGAAGTAAAAATATTTTTTTTCTCTAGAGATAAAAAAGCCACCCAGTACCTGTCATTTATGCTACTAAATCCTTTAACAGCTCTGACCAAAAACAGAACAAGTTGATAGTAAGTTTCTCGAATTTCTTTGTGTAGTTCTGTACCACAGCCTTCCAAGTGTCCAAAATAACTAGAAACAAAGGAAATTAAAGACTTACTCAATTGCAAGCACATCATTACAATAATCATTACTGCTTACATTGAAAAGAGCCCAGCAGCACCAAGCTGGACAAAGCTGCACAGGGTCTTAAGGAATCCCAAGAATGATACCTTTAGAAAATAACAGAACGTTCAAATGAGTTCATTTAACTAGGTAAAGAGTGCTCCCTACAGAGGTAGGGAGACAAAAATGATTTTTCTTTGCTAGTATAAAATCTACCCTTTTTCTCCACCACTTAACTGAATGAAGGCCAAATACTGTGTTTAGTACATTTTCACAAATGGCTTTGCTCTGCCTTTCTCTCACTCACCCCACCCTTCACTGACAACTTCATCAACTCACTGTCTTTTCTGTGTTGACACCTGTCACACTGGTGACCTCAACATCCATGTAAAAGATGTGTCCAGTTCCTTTTTGCAATTATGAATTAATCTAAACAGAAATAACCCCACCTTCTCTCATGGGAGCGAATGAGTTCTAAGAGGCGGCAAACAGGATTTCTCTAAACAACTTCAGCTTGTTTTCACTGTAGACCTGTGATCTGTACTCACTTGGTAAACTCTTTCTGGCAGGCGAGGAGTTCTAACAGGAAAAGTATAAAAGGTGGATGGAAGCAATGAGGCTGTCCAAGGGATTCAGCACAATGTTGGATTATCCTCAGCACTTCAAGGATGCTCTGCGCTTGGACTTTCTTTAAGGAAAGAACCTTTAAAACACTGCAGATAGAGCTCAAGTCAGGAACATGCAGAAAACTCTCAAACTGGGGCAGAAAACCTATTAGCTCAAATTCTGATGCTTATTAATAAAAAGGTAATAATGTTATGGTGTATTGTTGTTGTATGCTGCAGAAGTCAGAACCAACCCATAGCTGACCCTCCAGCAGGTTTTCAGAGACAGTTAATCACAAGGGAGGAGACTGCCCATCCTTCTCCCGCAGAACAGCTGGTGGATTTGAACTGTGTGCCTTCAGGATTGCAATGCAGATTCTTACCACTAGGCCACTAGAGCTATCATTTAATAAGTATACAAATACAAAGGCCCCAGTGGCATAACACATATAAGACATCAGGCTGTTAACTGAAAGGTCAACAGTTCAAACCCACCAGGAATTGTCAGGAAGAAAGATAAAATACCGCTGTGGAGAGTTGCTCTGGATGGGAACTCTGACCGCAGTAGGAGAGTTACTACCGTAGTCATTACTCAGCAGAATTACAAATATGTTCGCACAAACTATCCAGAAGCCAGGAATCATATTAAATAGATTAAGTACATAAATGAAAAAGAAAAACCTTGATATTTTCACTTCCCTACAAGGGATGAAGCTTTAATTTTGGGAACAGGAAATTCTTCACTAAATTAAACATGCAATACTTGTGGATATTTTGCCAGAAAATATCAAATCTAAAATTCTCCCTGAGTTAAAATTAACTTGCAAGCTATAGTTGGCTATAAGAAATGAGTCTTTTTTTATTCTAACATATAGTACAATACTAACATATAATTTATGTCACAGTATGGACAAATCTTAAAGAAAAACATCCTTAAAGAAAAAAACATCAAGTTTTTCATGAAAGTATTATTTACTAATCTCTAGCTTATTTTAACTTGATGGGTTTCCATAGCTAGGAAAAAAAGAAAGTGATGGAAGGGAGAGGACCCCGGCTCACCTCTCATGTGACAGTGACTGGTCCTTGATGAAGTCCATGACATCTCTCAGCACAGGATACTTCTCTTTTATTGTAGGCACTGGTTTGGCCTCCTCCATGGATCTGAAGGAGAGCAGCCGGAGTCGCCCTCGGGTGAAGGGAGGCCGTCGCGTGGGTGTGGAGGGTGATGAGGGCTCTTCGGCTGCAGCAGAGGATGAGGACCCCTCAGAAGCGGAAGGGCTACTACTGGGCATCAACTTCGGCTGGACGTCTAGGCCAGGCCTCCTGTCAACTGCCGCGGTGGCGGGAGCTGCTTCTGTGGGGGATGCTGATGCTTGGAAGTGCTCTTCCACCACAGAGCTTGTCCTCTGGCGTCTGTCAAGTGGCTGGAGAGAATCGGTTTCATCTGCAGTCACCAACTTGTTACAACTTTCTTTTGAATTTACAGCCACGGGCAAAAATCTTAGTAACAGAAGACTCTTCTGAATACACTCTTTTGCTAAACACAAAGAAAACAAGAAAGGTAATTAAAAAAAATTAAATAAGGTCTCCTTCATGTCCCCACTATGCAACATCCAAAATTATCCACTCCTATCCATTCTTGTTTCATTTACACTCCACTGACTTACTGATTCTCATCTCAAGTTATTTTCATGCAAACTGCAGACATTTTATCTGTAAAAGCATCAGTATATTTCTGTAAAAACATAGTTTTCTAAAAATAAAAACTCACAAACATAGGATTTTTAAAGTAAGGATATAACCAATAATGTGTTATCATCATACTGAAAAAAATTAATAATAATTCCTTAATTTCATTTAAAAAATCAGTGTGAACATTGTAGAAAACAAGATATATATAGCTCAAAAATCACTTAATGTATTCCAAGAGAATTAGAAGTATGTTTTACTTGATGTAAACAACTGGATAAACCATTATTCCTGTCTGGCATTTTCTCTACTTATGATACAGTTGTTGTTAGGGGTTCTCGAGTTGAGTACAACTCACAGGGACCCTATGACAAACAGATCTGAACCCTGTCCTATCCTGTGCCATCCTCACCATCTCTGACACACTTGAGCCCATTGCTGCAGTCATTGTGTCTTGGAAACTACATTTAGTACTCGTTTTATTCTCCATAACTTAACATTACTTCAGCTAACTTGATATGAAAGATGGGTCATGGTTTTATGGTCTTGAAACGGAAAGACGGCCAAGTGAAGAGAGTTTAACTAGTACACTCACACAAGTTTTCAGGGTTTGTCTCGCTGGCTTCTGAATCCTGTTTTTCTTCTGTCTCGTTGCCCAGCCCCATCAAGGACTTCTGCTTCATCTCTAACTGGGAGAAGATTTGAACCATATAATTACATTTTAACAGACACAAGGGCAGCAAACTACCTCAAAAGCATAGAACCTTAGATCATAGAGAATATGATAGTTCTTGTCCAGCTGCTGAGGACAGAGGACTGGACTAGGAAGGAGTCATCCAGGTTTTAAAGATCCTACAGGAATATTTGCAAACCTAACTTTCTTTCAACTCTATGTTATTTGGGAGAGGTTTATATGTATGACCTTATTAAAATAATCTTGGAACAGTGGTGCTTGAGGGGTGCCCTTATCTATAGCTACCAAATATGGATCAAGTAGCTGAGGTCTAGAGATCTGACTAGGGTCACACCCCCAGTGTGCTGTGGACAATGGCCCCAAATGTGATCTCTAGTCTACTGTGGATGAGGGAACACCTCCGTGTGATGCTGAGACTTCCAGGCAGAGAAGTGTTCCAAGTACCAGTGTAGGCAACGACCACAGCATTGACAGGCAGAATGCCAAATGTGATGCACCAAGGCCAAGGTCTTGAAAAGAACAAAGGTGGCAGTTTGTCCAACTGCTGGCAGTCTATCTCACACTAAGATTGAAGTGAACCTAAAACGTGTCTTACTGTTAACCTAGACATCTTCAAACTCAGTATGACCCAAACTGAATTGGCCTCTCCACTCCCAGTCCAAGACCATTTTTTCTATCTTGGCTAGTGTTTCTGCCACCCACCAAGTTCCCCAAGCTAGGAAACTAGGAAATGCCCTAAATCTCTCCCTCCTGCTTACTACTCACATCATCACAAAGTCTGATTAGTTTATCGTCTAAATATTAAGTCATCCAAATCTCAACGAACACACTAAATCTCCTGCTTTCAGTGTTACCATCTACCCCACTACTCAGTCATGTAAAGATTTTTTCCCCCTCCCAATTATACAATCCTTAAAACATATATGAAGACTAATATCGATGTCATATTGGAAGTTTGTTGCTATGAGTCAGAATCAACTCAATGGCAGTCGATTGTTTTGGTTTCGGTGTAGTTTTACTATGTAACAAATATATGTGACATAGATTTGGTTTGCTTCTATCATAAATATATACAATAAATATGACACATAAGTAGTTTCATATTTATACACTCTCCTGCCATTTAACTGTTGTGGGCTTTTTTATATCCATGCTGATATGTCACTGTTAGGTGAGTCACAAAGACCCTATGAACAACAGATCTGAACTCTGTCCTAGCCTGTGCTGTCCTCCTCATCTCTGACACACTTGAGCCCATTGCTACAATCACTATGTCTATCCAACTGAGACTTCCTCTCTTTCGCTGGCTCTTCACCTTTCCAGGAATAATGTCTCTTTACAAGGAACAGCCTTTCCTCCTAACAAGCCCAAAGTACCTGAGACAAAGTTTTGCATTCCATGCCTCTAAGGAGCATTCTGGCTATACCTTCTCCTAGACATTTCTGTTGGTTCGTTTGTAAGTCCATGGGATATTTATTCTTTTCCAGCACCATAACTCGAAGACATCAATTCCTCTTCAGTCATCCTTATTCACTGTCCTGTTCTCAGATACATAGCAAGTGACTGCAAAGACCATGACCTGGGTCAGGTGCACTTTAGTCTTTAAATGGGCAATAATTTGGAGAGGTCCCTAATCACAGACTTGTTCAATGTAATATGTTAATGTAAGTAACTCCTCACTCTTGATCAAGGGTGGTGGTGTGGATCCACATAAGATGAAATTGTTGACAATTTCAATCTTTTTCATCTATTATGATGCTACTTATTGGTCCAGTGTTGAGAATTTTTGTCTTCTTGATGTTGATATGCACTCCATAATGAAAGCTGTCTTTGACCTTCTGTACCAAGTATTTCAAGTTCTCCTCAATTTCAGCATGCAAGGCTGTATTATCTGTATAACGCAGGCTGTTGATAAGTAGTCTGTCATTTTCATTGTAATAATATCGTTCTATTATAAAAACACACATTATTTTCATCCATTCTCCTACCAGTGGACCCTAGAGTATTCTGGTTTGTTACTGTTCCAAACACCACCACAGAGCTAGTTTTGGGGTTTTTTTAAAAATTTTTTTTATTTTGTATGTGTGTGTATGTGTGTGTACTGTCAGATCAGATCTGACTGGTACAGGAGGAGATTGTCCCTCCTTCTCCAGCAGAGCATCTGGTGGATTTGAACCGTGCACCTCTGGGATTGCAGTATACCTTCTTGCCACTAGGCCACCAGAGCTCGCCAGTTTGGGGGTTTTAAAAAAAAATTTTATTATTTTTTTTGTGCGCACACCACCAAATCGGATCTGATTGGTACAGGAGGAGATTGCCCCTCCTTCTCCAGCAGAGCATCTGGTAGATTTGAACCATGTACCTCTGGGATTGCAGTGCAGCTTCTTGCCACTAGGCCACCAGAGTTCCCTAGAGTTAGTTTTCTGAACTGCAGAGTGAGGTGACCTCACCCCTACATAACTGTCCAAAGTTCCCAGTCTTCAAGGCAATACTGTTACTTAAGGTCCAAGGGTTCCACAAAGGGGCCTTTTGGCTACTAAAGGATGTAAAAAATGGCTCAATGAGTCTTGTTTACTCTAAACATTCTAAGAAAAAAAAAATCAAACCACTGCCACGGTGCTGATTCCAACCCGTAGTGATTCTGCCATGGAGTAGTGGGTGAGCCCGAGTTGCCGACCTTTAGGTCTGCAAGCCAACACTCAAACTACCATACCTCCAGGGCTCCTTAAACATTCTCAATCCTCATCCTTTTATCATTTTATGTCCTAAACTATTCTACACCTATGCTTGTCACTGAACTATGGTTACAAAGATAGTATTCCTCAAATTATATTCTTGAGTAGAGTTCTTGATTTCATGTGAGAAAACCCAAAATACATAAAAATCTTACCATCCATATTCTAATCCCATCAGCCAAGGAGTACACCTGTGCAAACTCCTCACTCAGGGCTGTCTTGCCCCCACTGTTTACTAGGGAAAGAGGGACAAAAAGATTCCATTCAGTTAATACAATTCACTACACTGACATTAAACACATAGAAATCTTCAAAATCTCCTAAAGTCTAGAAATACCATTTCCCCCTGACACTGCCAAAGTAAAGATGGTTAAAAAAGGCTTTGGGGGTGGGAGGGCAGGGGAGTAAGGAAATCAATTAAGCCATAAACTTGTAACAGGTTCTTTGTGTTATCTCAAAGTAATTTTTCCTTACTGTCTTATCTCTTTATGGTTTCTAAAGCTACCAGCAATTTCTCTATGTTTTATTTGGAAATTGAGACTTATTCATTTTCTATTCTTTTAATACTCAGGAAAAAACTCTATAAGGTATCCCAATTCCCTGTAAAAGTGTTTAAATTATTGGAAAACTACTGCCAGGAACAGTGATTGCAATTCCAATTTCAGGAAATAAATGTCACAAGTTTTGAAATGGAGATAAAACAGGACTGACATTGGGGTTGGGGGAAGACTGAGAAAGATGGGATAAAAAATGTAAACGGCATTGAAACATATGAGGGAAAAAACTGTTTAAAAGGGATATGTGATTAGGTATTATTGTCATGACAGGAGTCCAGAACGAAGGCTGCATAGTGGAGTGGACCTGGGGGGAGGGATTGTATAACAACAAAAGAATTCTTCTTTTACTTTTCAAAGAGTGTACTGGGTGGGCAGGGAGAAAAGTACAACAATGAATGAAGGGAAATCCAAAGTCTCTGTAAATTTTCACTGAAATTAATAATAATAAAAAAATTAAATAAAAACAAGAAATGGAGATATTCTTAATGCAGCGACTAAAAGTGAGGTTTTGGCTTTTTTTTTTTTTAAAAGTATTGCTATGGGAAAATGCTCATGACACATTTTCAGGAGGGACTAGTTTTGGGGAAAATGATAATGATCATGCTTGGGAAAGTAGAGTGTCAATGAAAAAGAAGACAGATTTCAATGAGAAAGCAACAATGGGCTCAAATCCAGCAATGATGGTGAGGAGGGCCAGGACAAGGCGGGGCTTCATTCCGTGCACACAGGGCTGCTATGAGTTCGGGAACTCTGAGAGAGATGCAAGACACACTTCCTGTGACCTCAACACTTGAGGCTTTAACCAGAATATCTTAGAATGCCAGCACATACCAACTCTGAGCCAATTTTACAGATAAGGAAACTGAGGTCTGCAAAGGCTGTTTTGACCTGACGCTGCAATTACTGAATTTCTGAGTTGGAACTAGAACCCAAGCTAAGCTTTCTTTCTAGTAACCTTCTTGGTAGTTTTCCATGACAGTTATGGATAAAGACAAATTATCTATTAATTAGAAAACTCAAGGCTGCCAGCAACAATTTGCTTATGATCAGCAAAAAAAGTAACAGCTAGTTGGAGAAACACATATCTGAAAATTTCCACTTAGGATAGACTTTCCTAAAACTAAGCAATTAGCCTTCAGATCAAAAACAATCCTTCTAATTTAAGTTACCATATTTTCGTAGCTTCTCATATAAGTCTGGAGTGCGATATACCAGAGCGGCAAAGGTGGCGTTCACAGCTTGATCAATAGTAGAACCAGCAACTATATCTGTCTTTGGGGCCTGCTTTCTACATGCCTGTATGAGTCCTTTGAAAAGTTCTGAATATGGCCCACAGAAGTTCTGAGCAGGATCTGACTGTGCAAAATCAAGAAGAAAATCGCGGCAGGGATTGTCAGGAATGTTCTTAACCTGAGGACAGAAAAGAAGAATCACATTTAAGATGTCTTTCAAGAAAAAGAAGAATTACTAATCACATAATAGGCCAAAGCACAGTATAAAACACAGTGCATACTCTCAGGAAGCTTAAATCTATTTAGGGGAGACCAGACACCTAAATAGATTGTGGGGGAGAAAAGGTAAACATAAACAAAATATTAAAAGTATTAATACTAGCACTACTATAAAGCTAAAGATTTTAAGTGCCAAGTGCCTAAAAGGAACACTGAATGCTAAGAATTCAGAGAGAATTTCTCTAAGATTAAAGTAATTAAGAAAAGTCTCCTGGAGGATAGAGTCTGGGTTGGATCCTGAAGGATGGGCAAGAACACAACCACTAGCAGAGGTTAAGATTCAGGAAGGACAGCGGAGGAAACTGACCTGGCCTGAAGTCTCAGCTGGGGAGTGGTGGGAACTAGAGTCAGATAGTAAGGTGAAGGGAGACTGCAGAGAGCCTTGACTGTCACACTGAGGAGTTTACACTTCACCCTGTGGGCAACAGGGAGCCATTAATGGTGCTTGGCAGTGGGATCACAAGGTAATGCAGTGATTTAAAAACTTGGTAGGTACCACTGTGATAATGCAGATGCAAGATGAGGGCCTGGATAAAGATGGAGAGAGAAAACAGAAAGAGATGAATGTAACAGCGAAGAATTCATAGAGCTGGCAGTTGACTGGGTCAGAAGAACAAGAACATGCGGGGCTGAAGGCAATGCTAGAGGACCTGGAGCGGCTTGACACCCGGGGAAACAACAGTGACAACAGTAGTAGCAGAGCTGTCAGGGAGACACTGGTTTCGCATTTCTGAGTTGAACGAAGTCAGGCCATTGGAAGGAGAGAAGGAGATAGCATGACTAGAGCCAAGAGAAGAACCATAGCTAGAAATGGATATTTAGGAAGTATTCACACAGAGGTGACAGCAGAAGAGAGGACAGAGGAGGAAGGCTTAGTGGGGTTGGGGAAAGGCAAGGCGCAAGCCCTGAATAAATAAAGCCTACCTGGTAAAGAAGGAGGGAAAAAAAAGAGGTCAATAGAGAAGGCAGGCAGAGTGGTTAGATGGAAGAGAAGATCGTAAGCTGCTGTGGAATCAAAAGAGAAGGTCTGAGGAGTCAAATTTAGGAGGAAAGAAGCTAAAGAAGAACCACTGGTTCCAGATATTAACTACTGAGTAATTTAGAGGGGGCAGGACAAGAAGGGGCGGGGCAGGAAGGAAAAGTCATACAAGAACAGAGACAGAAGGAAGGGGAGATGAGAAATACAGAATGTGGGCAGACTGGTTCAGTTTTAAAAATATTATACTTCTAAATCAGGAGCTACAGTTCTATGGAGAACAAGGCATAGCATAAATTATTTACTCTCAAGTTTGACCCAGGACACTCAACTTGTTTGTTTGATAATGTCATCAAGAGAGACTTAGGGAACTCTTAGGATATTTCCCTGAAGAGTCATTTAGACTCCTATTATGCACTGGTCACTATGGTACACAGTGAGCATTGTCAAATGAACAAGGAGCAAATGGTAGAGTGAGGGCAACAAGATAAAAACAGAAATGTTCATAATCTAAAGTATTAAACACCAGGAAATATTTCATGCACCAAACAGAAGAGCAATTACCTCCTTATGATCCTGGCATGGGTGAGTGGGCCTGTGTGCTTCCAATTCCAACTCTGGACAGATCTGATGACTGAAGACAGGTTTCCACAAGGGAGAGTTTAGGACTAATCCCATTTTTGCCTGAGGTACTGCCATATTACTTCCTAACTCTGGAAAGAAAAGAAAGCTTATTAAAATTTTATTTTTCCCCTCTGAATACACTGAGAATCTTTGTGTCAACGAGGGGAAGGAAAATAAAAAAGACTAAAAACCCTGGGTATTACTAAAGAAAGCTCACTCATATTAAATGAAATGTAATTCTAATACTTCACACACACAAAGCCCTTACAAGCCAAATCCCAGTCAGTCAGTCCCAAAAGACTATAAAACAGCTTCAGTTTCAAGGTGCTTTGGAAATAACTAACCTGTTTGATGAGCTGAAAGCAGAATAATACCAGCCACACCCAGGGAGTCCATTTGGAAATATTTAATTACAGGAAAATGTTTACAAATCTGTTAACTTATTTTTTGTAAAAAATAATAATGAAACATCCACGATAATATGTTTATAAATCGGCACAGGATAAAAACCCCACCAAACCAGCTAGGTAGAAATATAACAAAACGTAAATAACAATTATTTGAGTGTAGGATTATATATAATTTTATTTTTGTTTTTTTAATGACCCATTGTATAATTTTTCTGTTTTACTTTCTTACTCACAAAACCTCAAGAAAATGGTATAGAAATAAAATGTAATAGTAAGTGATATTCTGTAATTCTTGTTTCTGGATGAATTTAATAACTAAGCTGAACAAATCAAGACAAAATTTACATCTACAAATTTACATGTGTTCACATATACTTCCTTTTTTTAATTTTTTTTTTTTTTTTTAATGTGTGTACCGTCAAATCAGATCTGACTGGTACAGGAGGCGATTGTTCCTCCTCCTTCAGCAGAGCGTCTGGTAGATTTGAACCACACACCTCTGGAATTGCAGTGCAGCTACTTCCTTTTTTTTTTTAAAAAAAAAATATTTATTTTGTGTGTGTATCATCAAATTGCTTTCACTGTTTTTGCTCAGACATTCCTCTAGGTCGTGTAGCCCTGGTGTACAAGTTGCTGTACAGCGGTAACTTGTGGTTGCTGTGAGGCTGAACACTGTGACACTGATGTGTCAAATACGTTAATGGCTGGTTACTCAATGTGGACAGAGAGTGGGGTGAAGTTCCCCGATTAAAACAAGCTTGGAAGCAGAAGTGGCATCCACTTCTGTAATGTCTTGCTTCTGGAAACCCTATGAACCTGGAGAGAGGATGAAAGATACCCAAGCATTGAGGACTCTCCTTCATAGGGTCGCTATGAGTCGTCTGCGACTCGATGGCACTTAACAACAACAACCATCAAATCAGATCTGACTCGTACAGAAGGAGATTGCCCCTCCTTCTCCAGCAGAGCAGCTGGTGGATTTGAACGGTACACCTCTGGGATTGCAGTGCAGCTACTTGCCACAAAGTCACCAGAGCTCTCTTCACATATACTTCTATGTAACTATTCGTATTTTTAAACAATATACAATTAATTTATTCTACATTTCTGCTTTCTGGTTGGAGTACACCTAAGTTCTCTTGTAAAAAATATATGGCAATGCTGTTAAACAATAGTTGCCTCCATAACTTGTCCTCTACAGACATGGGAATCCACAGAATTCCCATTTGAGTGAACTTTGTGTGATGAGCTCCAAAGTCTGAATCACGACACTTTATGACAACGGTGTCAGGTGACACTTTATTCTGGTTTAGTGTAAACAGACTGAGAAGAGAACATTATTGATACCTCCGCTGATGTCATGACATGGTGACACACCATGCCTACTCCCGACATAAATGAAGCATGAACCCTGTCCCTCGACAGGAAGCAGCAGGCGTGTGGACTTACGATGAGCAGACTTGAGCCCCATACACTGTGAAGCAAGGCGTCCCATCAGTCGGGAGACAAGAAGTTGCAAATCCAGTCCCCAGGACACGGCAACATCCGGCAGCCCATAGGCGGTGACTGTGAATTTGTAGCCCCATTCATTGTTACTGCTGTCAGAGTGAAAGAGGAACTGGAGTCGAGGACCTGCCTTAAAGGTCACTTTCTAGAGACAAACAGAAATCATGTGGTTAAACAGACTTGAGAAGGTAGCATTCCAGTAACGCATATGTTCTCCACAAGTCAACAACCTCCATTGAAAATTGGCTTGTACTCCCACCATCAGTCCAAAACACTTGAAGGACAAATGTACAAGTGAATGACTGAAAAAGAAAGTCCACAACTACACTGGATGAAGGAGGGCTAGTGGAAAACCACTGTCCGTTCGTTTCCTAGATCTTGGATGCCTGTCTGTCCACTACCTACTGATCACCTACTCCTTTGCTCAGCCAAGACCACTGAGAAAGGAAAGGGCCTCATCTCCCCACTCAGATCATGAAGCCCAAACTGTGAAGTGAGTCTTTCAATGACTTCTGGTTCAGAGCCATCCTGGATCTAACAGCTTTCCTTGCTGAGGATTATAATTTTACATTTACTTGGGCCAATGTTGATATAAATAAACCCAGGGTTGGCAAACTTCACTAGACAGTAAATATTTCAGTCTCTGTTGTGACTATTCAACTCTGCCACTGTTAGGTCAAAGTATCTACAAAAGATCAATAAACAAACGGGTGTGGCTGTTCTAAAACATTTATTTACAAAAAACAAGAGATGAATAGTAGTTTTCAGAATCGTAGTAAAAACTCTTGCATTTATAAAAATACAATATAATGTTTCCATTGTAACTATCGTTGTTGTTATTACTGCTGTGTGCCATCAAGTCGAGTACAATTCACAGTGATCCTAGGAATCTTGTCTTACCCTTTGCTATCCTCACCATCTCTGACAAAGGGAGAATCGGTACAGGAGAAATCATTTCACCTCTTTATAGGATTATCACTTACCTTGGGCCATTTCTCAGTGCCCACTTTTGTGTCGTAGCGTATTTTCCCACCTCTAGCATCGGTAAATTCCAGATAATCATACCTGCAAAACATAATCTCTGTTACTTTTGCTTTCATTTTGGATCCATTATTTCTTGGGATACCATTTATCTGGCAGTCTGTCATAATGCAGTTGCTTGCACGTTGCTGTGGTGTTGGAATGTATGCCATCAGTATTTAAAATACCAGCAAAGTCATCCATGGTGGATGGGTTTCAGGGGCATTACTGACTAGGAAACGCCAGGAAGAAGTACTCGGCAATCTACTTCTAAAATCCTTGCAGTGAAAACCAAGAATAACAAAAGAGTATTGTCTGCGATAGTGCTGGAAGATGAGTCTGTTAGGTGGGAAGGCATGAAAATACAACGGGGCAAGAGTGCTTCCCCCAAACACAGTCTACCTCACTGATGTGAATGAAGTATAACTTACAGGACTTTCATTTGCTGACATAACAAGACTCAAGAAGGGAATAAACAATTGTAAACATCCACTAATAGAATGTGAAATGTACAAAGTATGAATCTCAGAAAATTAGAAGTTCTCAAAAATGAAATAGGAAGCTTAAGGATTGGTATCCTACACATTAGTGAGTTGAAATGGACTAGAGATCATTCTGAATTGGCCAGTCTTATGATCTACTATGCTAGGAATGAAAAAAATTGAAGGAAATGGTATTACATTCATTGTTAAGAATATTTCAGGATCTATCATGAAGTACAACGTCTGTCAATGATAAAATCATATGCCTACAAGAAAAATTAGTTATTATAATTGTTGTTCAAACTTAGTCACCAAGCACTAATGTCAAAGATGAAAAAAATTAAAGAATTTTTTATCAACCTCTGTAGTCTGAAATTGATTATCTAAGTTACCAAGATGCATGGATAATTACTGTAATTGAAATAAGGAAGTAGGAAATAAACAAGAAGGAGAGTAAAGCCTTAGTAAACAGAGGTATAGTACACATGACAAAATTTTAAGTCAAATGATTTATTCACCAGAAATGTATTTTTTCAACAGACACGATTAACTAAACACATGGACCTTGTCAGATGGAGTACACAAGAATTAAGTTGACTATATCTGTGGAGAGAAGCAATGGGGAAGCTCAGGGGCCAATTGCAGAGCAGAACACCAATTACTCACATGCAAGTTCAAGTCGAAGCTGAAGCAAATGAACACAAGTTCATAAGAGCAAAAGTATAAATCCTACCTGATTTTAAAGTCCATATCAAGACTCAATTTGATGTACTGGACATTAACAAGCAAAGATCAGACAAGCAGTAAGAGGAAGGCACCATATATAAAGAAAGTAAAGGAAGAAAAGACCAAGACAGAGGTCAGAAAAGACTATGAAACTTGAACTTAAGAGTCATCAGAAGAATCTGAAGAAAAAAAGTAAAAGAGTTGAACAGTAGATTGTACAGTCATCTTGAGAAGACAAAGTAAAGCACCGTAATTAAATGCACAAAGATCTGGACTTAGAAAACCAAAAGGGAAGAACAAGCTTGGCATTGTTCAGCTGAAAGAAAAAGTCAAGTCCTGAGGTGCAATAGGGAAAGACTCAAAGAGCAAAATATTGACTAACACATGAAACAGCAAATGAAGATGGAAAGAAAACACAGAATCACTGTATCACAAAGAACTGTTCAAACATATCAGGAGGTATCCTATGATCAAGAATCAAAGGTGCAGGAAAAAGTCTAAGTTGCACTGACAGCATTGGGGGAAAAGAAAAAGCTGCAGGGGGTGGGAAAAGCTGCAGGAATTGATGCAATAAAGAGATGTTTCAACAAATGAATATAACACTGGAAGGGCTCACTCATGCCAATAAATGTAGAAAGCAGCTACTTAGCTAACTGACTAGGGAGCTTTGGTGGCATAGTGGTAAGGAGTTATGCTGCCAATTCAAAGGCACACAGTTTGAATTCACTAGCTCCTCTGTGGGAGAATACAGGAAATTTCTTCCCATATGATTACAGCCTCTGAAAATCTACTGAGGGATTAGTTATGAGTTGGTTCTGATTCAAAAGTACACAAAAATTTTAAAAAATGCAAAAATAAAACAAAAAAATATATATATGAATGCTCTTAAAAAAATACACAATAGTTAAACGACTGGAAGGGCCCATTACAAAGAAAAGTGATCCAGAACTTTGGGAGCATACTCTTTAAGGTTTGCACTGATGACCACAGAAAAGAGATTCAAAAGAATGTAGAGATTATTGAACAATATCATTCATATAAAATAAAAGTAAAGAATTACTACAGATAATAAAAAAAGCCCCAAACTATTACAGCAGGGACATCAATAGCGAATGGCAAGAAATTCAAGCCAGATTCAGAAGAGGATGTAGTGAGGGCTCTCATTGCTGATGTCAGATGTATCCTGGCTGAATGCAGAGAAGGCTAGAAAAATGTTCACTAGTGTTTACTGATTACAGAGGTATTCAACTGTTTGGATAACACTGCAAAGAATCAGAATTCCAAAACATTTAATTGTGCTCATATGGAACCTGTAGATAGTTCAAGAGGCAGTTGTTTGAACAGAACAAGGAGATACTGTGTGGCTTCAAAGCAGGAATGGTGTGCCTCTTTTGCCATACTGATTCCCACTGTATGTCCAGCAAATAATTTGAGAATTTATACTATGCAAAAAAGAAGTAGGCATCAGGACTGGAGACTTGTCAATAATGTACTGTAGGCAGAAGTCTTGTTATACAAAGAAAAAGTGGCATCAGGATTGGAGGAAGACTCATCAACAACCCACATTATGTACATAACACAATTCTGCTCGCTCAAAGTGAAAAGGACATGAAACACTTGCCCCAGAAGATCAAAGACTACAACCTGCAATATAGATTACATCTCAACATTAAGAAGACAAAAATCCTCACTACTGGGCCAAGAAGCAGTATCATGAAAGATGGAAAAAGATTGGCGCTGTCAATGATTTCATTTTACTTTGATCCACAATAAACAACCAGGTATAACAGCAGTCAAGAAAACAAAAGACGTGTTGCAATGGGAAAATCTGCAGTCCAGGACCTCTCCAAATTGCTGAAAAACAAGGATATCAGTTTAAAGCCTAAAGTGAGCCTCATGTAAGCCATGGTCTTTTCAATTACTTTCTATGTATCTCAAAGTTGTACAATGAGTAAAGACAACAGAAGAAAACTTGAGTAGTGGTGTTATAGAAGATCACTGAATATCCCATGGACTGCTTAAAAAAAACCCACTCTGATCTGTCCTGGCAGAAGTGCAACTAGTGTGCTCCTTATAAGCAAGGATGGTGAAACTTTATCTCACTTACTTTGGGCATGTTATAAGGAAGGGCGAGTAAAGGACACTGCTGGGAAAGATGGAGAGTGAGAGAAAGAGAGGAAGACCCTCAACAAAGTGACTGTAACAAGGGCGCAAACTTAAGAGATGGTTGAGGGTGGTGAAGGACAGGACAAGGTTCAGATCTGCTGTCCATCAGGCACTCTGAGTTGCAGGTGACTTGAGGGCACCTAACGACAAGAAGAGCAGAAGAACTCCAGTGCCACAGTCCAAAGCGAGATGCACTGCTAGGCCAATCCACCAGCGACTGCAGGAGACAGACAGGTAGTCTCTTCCCGTTATGACTTTTTATTGTTTTTATGGACCCTTGATTTGGAACCAACTCATAACTGATCCTCCAGAGGATTTCAGAGGCAGTCAATCCCACAGAAGATTGCCCATCTTTCTCCCACGAAGCAGCTGGTGGATCTGAACCTCTTGCCTTTGAGTTTACAACTTCTAAAACCAACAGGGAAATGGAGTCAGAACTGACTCAATAGCCAGTGAGTTTGAGGTTTTTTTTGTTTTATAGGCAAAAACTTGGTTTACTGAAAGTGAAGATGATTTGAAGCACTTACTGATTTAAAGATTGCAGCTGTCAGTGTGAATAACATTGCACATAAAGAAATCAAAACCTCTAACAACTGGATCAGTCAGCAACAGCATGAAAAGAGAAAGCAGCTGTTTTCTTGACTGGTTTGTTTACATAAATGGATGCTGACACTTGGCAACATCATGAGGATTACATTTCACTTGGATCCACAATCAACACCCATGAAAGCAACAGTCACGATATCAACTGATGTGCCACAATGAGCATTATTTGCTGCAAGCAAAGGACTTCTTTAAAGTGTTAAAGAGCAAAGATGTCATTCTGAAGACCAAGGTGAGTCTGGCCCTAGCTATTATATTTTCAATTGCTTTGTATGCATGTGAAATGTAGTCAATAAATAAGGAAGATCAAAGAATTGATGGCTTTGAATTATGATGTTGGTGAAGAAAAGTGACTATACCAGGGACTGTAAAAAACAAACAAATATCTTAGGAGTGCAGTCAAAACGTTCCTTAGACGTGATGATCGCAGGACTTGGTTTCATGTACTTTGAACATGTTATCAGGAGGGACTAGTTGCGAGGAAAGGACATTATACTTGGTCAGTTAAAAAGAAGCCCTTCACCAAAATACATTAACAGTGATTCCAAAACAATGGGTTCAAACAGAGCAATGACCATGAAAATGGTACAGGACCGAGCAGCACTCTATTGTACAACACAGGGTTGCCAGGAATAGGAACCAAGTAGCAGCCTAGGGATAAGAATCAGCGCTGAAATTCCAAAGGCAGTTCAAGTCCATTAACTGCTCTGCTGGAAAAGGTAGGCAATCTCCTCCCGTGCAATATACTTCCTCTGAAAATCTCCTGACGGGTCAGTTATCAGTCGGTTCTGACTAGAAGGCATCCAACATAAACACAATAGCACTGCTGGGGTGGGGGGGGAATAAATGGGAGTCTTACCTTTTTTCAGTCTCACACCTCTCATCAAATTCCACCTCAAAATAAGTTGCCCCTGGGCTAACGAAGAGAGATACTTCATGGCAATTATTTTCATAGTTATGGGCAGATTCCTTAGTCCATGTATGCAACACCACAGGCTGTTCCTGTTGCCAAGTCTCAACATCCAGCTATGTAAATAAACCAGTCAAGAAAATAGTTATTACTTTACATCCAGAATGCTCTCTTTTTAAATCAGTGCCCCAGAAAGGGCTTGAGATCCCTACAGAAACAACCACACCAACAAAATATACCCAATATTCATATATCCTGCACACCGTTCTGCATGTGAACACAAAGGTTATACTGTTGTTGTGTACTGTCAAGTCAGAACTTCCCCACAGCTGACCCTCCAGCAGTTAATCATAGGAGGAGATTGCCGAACTTCCTCCTTCAGAGCAGCTGGTAGACTGAAACCATGTGCCTTCATGATTACAGCGTAATTCTCACCACTAGGCCATCAGAGCTCCCTGGATGTTCTATTATATGACAGTAGTTCTAATGGACTCAGAGTATAAGGTGTTTCATGAATTAAAGTGCTAACCAAAATAGCCGTTTGAAGACGCCAGTTGCTCCGCAGGACCAAGACGGACAATCTTCTTCCCATGAAAATGTACAGTCTGAGAAATTTGACGGGGTCAACTTGAAGGCAGTGGAGTTTGTTTTGGTTCTTTAAATAGTGACTCTATAAATAGTTTAACAGAGTATTTTCTATTGACAGAATTATTTCTCAGAAATCATTACTAGGTATGAATTTCTAGTGGAAAAGGATTCAGTTAGGAGTTTAATGATTTCAAACTTTAATTCTAGTTCCAATTCTGTCACTTAAAAAAAAACCAAAACTGTTGACCAAGGAATGAGTCTCGCTTTCTTTTCTCCCCATCTTCGTTTTCTTACGTATAAAACGGAGTTTTACTATATTACCTATCTACTCCCAAAGGATTGCTGTGAGACTTAAGATAATAAAAAATTCTGGGAAGTGTAAGCTTGAGGAAAAAAACACCTTTCTATATTAAACCTTCTAATCTTCTTTCCAACATATTTTCTCTTCTAAACGTCAACCTGGTTATTTGCTCATATGACCACAGGATTCCTATGCTACTTCATGGGTTGTAACAGTGAGGATGTCGAGCTATTTACAGTTTCTATGTAGCTCTAGTGGCTCCATGGTAAGGAGTTGTGCTGCAAACTCAAAGGCTGGTGGTTCAAATCCACCAGCAGCTGCATGGGAGAAAAACAGGGAATATTCTCCCATGAAATTTACAGCCTCTGAAAACCCACTGGAGGTAATGTATGAGTCCATTCCAAGTCAACAGCACAAAACAATGTCTGTTCTCAATAGTTTGCAGGGCAAATGAACTGTGACTGGTAATTATGTTTGTGAGCAAAGCCACAGTAATTTATTTGTGTAGATCTGTTCTCAGTGATGTTTCGTGACAGTCATGTAACTCCTCCAGAGGACAGTAGGATGCCTTTGGGAGTTACCTTATTCAGTCCCCCATCAGGGTCTCCGCAAAGCTTCTTTAGCAATTCTGTCAGAGTGCTGAACTCTCTCAGGAGCGCGCAGTGTGCAATGTCCAAAGTGTAGAAGTCCAGCAGGAAGATGACCTAGAGGATGACGAGCGAAGCACTTGGCTCCCACCTCACACCGCAGTGCTGACCAACCACAGCTCCCCTCCCACCCTTCACTCTGTCTTACCAGTTGACGGGCTGCCATTGAAAATACAGAATTACATAATTTTTCTACTACAGTTTTCCCACTGTACTGTGACAAGAGAGATTCCAAAATCATCCTCATCCTTGATAGAAACTGCTGCACATCTACCAAAACATGAAGAAAATGATTAATACTGTCCATCGCAGAAAGATCAATTAGTTATAATTAAGGGCAAAGGTGAAGAGCCACAGGTGTGGAGAGGATTCCACAGCAGAAAGACATGAGACTACTGAGTGTCATCCAAACACCTTCCTGAGGTGCCTATTTCACAGAACTTTTCAAGTAAAAGGGTATTTATGGTTTGTTGTTTTCTTTTGAACTTTGTTACTTTTTGATGAAGAGGCTAGGTCACATTTATGATGAGGTGAATTAGGCAAACTGACCCACTTGCCTGTTTCTCCTTTGTCTCATGTAGCAGTAGGTGTGCCAGTGTAGTAGTGAAGAAAGATCATGTTGCAGGTGGGCCAAGGTTTGTGTGACACCACCAGATGTGGTAAACATTTTCTGTCACATCTCTTAAGATCAAATGTAAAGTAAATTAATTTTTTCAAATATGATTTCTCAGAATGTGTTGAGTTTTGTAAGCTTTTCTGTGGGTTTTCATGTTGTGAGTCTGAGATCAGGGGTAAAAACACCACTGAAGAGTGAGACAGCATCTAAAAGTGATGTATGATTATACAGGTATGTGCAGTGGGCTGTAAAGTGATCCATTTCTACAATAAAAACATTTAGGCTATCATATTCAGGCAGGAAACCATAGGACATACTATAGACTTTCACTTTTTATTATTTTAAGAAACACACACACACGGAAGATTTGACATGTAGCAAAAAAAAAGACCATGCACATACTCAGTGTGAGTTACTAGAGAAGACAACATACATACAGAGTTAAAATCCCCACAGGCACCTGTTTTCACAGGCGTTGTATCGAGACTCACATTTTTCAATCAGGTCAACTGCCAGGTCTTTGGCTGTGGTGTCTGTGCCTTTGAGTTGCAGGTAGCACCAGGAGAACAGGCTGCCCTGGACAGACCAGAACAGAGAGAAGAGCACGGAGCCAACCTCCCCTTGGGCACCGCTGAGCATCAGCAGTTCACACTACATGGGAAGAGACACACAGAATGTGTTCACAATAAGGCCATTCACAGAGTACAGGCAAGGGTAAACTCTAAGAGTACCCAGAACACAATGGAACCAGGGAGTGTCAAGAAAGAGCTTTTCACTCAGAAGTGACCAAGGGAAAAAAAACACTTAGAAGTGGTTTTACACCAGATCACATTTTCTCGTGCCACCGGAAAACCTGACCCCACTGGCTAACTTGACACATTTTTAATCCCCTATTTCCTCTGGGTCTTTCCTTCCTTACTGAATCAAACTTCTCTCACCTTGAAAAAGAATTCCTCACTCTACTCTGGCTCTCTTCACCATTTTCTTTGTTCTCAGGAGTTTTTTGGAGGCATCTGACCTCTAAGGATAAATCTTTGCTCCTAATCACCACAAGTGGGAGAACGAGCAATTTCCTTCCTTGCCTCTGAAAATTCACCAGAGGGTCAGCTATGAGTCAGTTCCGACTCTACAGTACACAACAACAATCACCACAAAGTGTATTTTTAACATCACTGACTTGTATGTACCCCAAAAGGAAACCCAGTTACCCCTCAAAGTAGAACAAACTGTGGCATAGTACAATAGGATGGATATTGTTAAAATAAATCAACTCCAGTACATACATCAACATGGATGAATCTAAAAAATGCTGTTAAATGAAAAAAATCAAATCAACGATCACCTCCTAGATACATCAAAGATTTTTACTAAATCTTAGAAGCTCTGTTGAAACTCGAAACTCTTTTTCCTCTCAGCTTCTCCATCTCCTGAATTTTTCCCTGGCTTTGTTACTCCTTCTTACTTGACTCTTTCAATGTGATGCTCTTCCAGAAGGCCATGGTGATGTTTATCCTCTTGACTTCAACCATCAACTGGTTGTTATTGATGGAATTTCCAACACTGAGAAACTTAAGTGTTCAACCAGATCTTAGCACCTGATATCCTATTGTTGCTGTTGTTGTTAGGTGCTGTCAAGCTGACTACAACTCATATCTACCCCATGAACAAGAGGTTGAAACCTTGCCCTCTCCTGCACCATCCTCATGACCTGCGCCAAATTCAAGCTCACTGTCGCAGTCCCTGTGTTAATCCATCTCCTTGACGTTCTTCCTCTCTTTTGCTGCCACTGTGCTTTTCCAAAATGTGCTGTTTTTTGTAAGGACTGGTGTTTTCTAACTGAATCCACCCAGGGCTCAGAGGGAGAAAGATGGGCTATCTCCTCTCGTGCAATTCACAACTTCAGAACCTAAACTGAAGGCCAGCTATGGACCAGATCTGACTTGATGGCCATGAGTTGAGACTACTCATCTCCATAACGCAGGTTTAGGTCTGTATCCCTACAGAAGCTGTCCACCTGTTACAGCCCTTACTGCACTATACCACAACTGTCTGATTCCATGTTTATCAGCTCAAGATTGTGCTCTCAAGGAAGGGGTTTTTTATCCCTGTATCTGCACAGGACTTGGCACATGAATTCAGTGTATTATTTGTTGAAACAAGAACACAGACTTAAGGGGGGAAAATTTCAAACTAGGTATTTCTGATCACTTTTTTAAAAAAATGAACTGATCTTTCACATAAGCATAAATGTTTTTGGAGAAAGATAATACAAACCATTCAAAGAAGTGTCTCAACTATTTCAGTGATACTCTTGTTAAATGTGATCTATTAACATCCTTTGTGTCAGACAAAGTGAATTCAAATTCACTTTGTGAATTCACAGACAAGTGAATCCAAATGATGAGATTATGAGAAATTCTCGTGTACAATATCATCTCCTTTCTCTGTATCTTTCACACTAATAGAGTAATAAAGAAGACAAGACAGAGTCAAATGACTTGGCTTTCAGCTTGGCTCTGAGCACGTACCAAGTCCTTCCACAGGGGAGCAGAACTAACACCTATGAAAACAAGAAGTTTTCTGTCCAATGGTGCTTGATTTATGGGACTAAAGAAAAAACACAGGTAGAGTCAAGAGCTTAGACAGGGCTCAAGGGGCCTAAAACAGGTTAAGATTGAAATGATCTCCAAAAGAAGGATAAGCTGTAGGGAATAGCAGAAATAAAGAGAGATTAGAAGGAGCCATGGCTAAGTGGAGCCAATATTGATGAATAGTGGGATGGAGAAAAATGTGAAGAAAAGGCTTAAGAGATGAGCAGAAGAGTCTGAAATAAGGCTATTTCAGAAAGTAATCAAGGGGAAAATTAATGCAACAGGGGAAATAAAGCATTTATAAAAAATAAACACCTCCATAAATAACACCAATCTGTGATTTTAAAGAACAAGAGAGCAACATGAAGCTTGGATTTAAAGTAATATTGAGTCTAAACATTGCATCTAAATAGAAAACAGTAAAGAATATAAATGCTCTGTGGTCTCTAAGAGTAAATGGGGAATAACACCAACTGGCCTATCACTCCAGGCAGCTGGAAATGAATAAAAACATGGTGCTAACAACACCTTGAAAACAGTAAAGCATCAAAAAAAGAAAAGTACTGAAAGACAGTACAGTTACAAGACAGAAAATAAGCTATTGGAGCTCATGCCATTAAATATCTTCGGTTAGGATTGCATACTATAAAATCTGCTCCCATTCTCCAATACTCCTATTTAATCTACAGGTAGTTTCTGCTCCCCCTAGTACAGTGATCCTAGTCCTTTGGATTTTTTTTTTGTACATGGGAAAAGCTCAAGCACTTTCTCTAAACCAAGAACCCAAATCATTGTCATTGAGTTGATTCTAACTAGCAGTGATCCTGTATGGCAAAGCAGAAAGCCCCCAAGGATTTGCAAGGCTGTAAATCTTTTAAGTTGTCACATCTTTCTCTTGTAAAGTAGCCTGTAACTTTGAACCACCAACTTTTTAAACAGTAATTGAGCAATTAGTCAGTGTTTCGCACGAGCTCTAGGCCTTATCCTTTTGCTGTTTTTAGGTGCTACTGAGTCGAGTATACCAGCTCTATAAACAACAGAGTTGAACTCTCTCCTATCCTGTGCCATCCTCATCCCCTCTGACACACTGCGGCAGTCACTTTGTCAGTCCAGCTCATCAAGGGTCTTCTCTTCTCTTTCACTGACCCTCCACCTTTCCAAGCATGATGTTCCTCTCTAAAGAATAGCTTCTCCTAGCGACATGTGCAAAATATGAGACAAAGCTTTGGCATCATTGTCCTCAAGGAATAATCTGGCTATACTTTTTCTAAGACATATCTGTTTGTTCTTTGGGCAGTCCATGAGATTGATATTCAATACTCTTCTCCAACACCACAGCTCAAAAGCATCGATTCTATCATCCTTATTCACTGTCTAGCTTTCAGATATATAGCATGTGATAGAAAAGACAGACCATGGTCTAATTTCTAGAAATCCAAATTTGTCAAATATGTCAGATAACTCTGACCCACTGATATACAGACTACATTTTAAAAAGCAAAAGTTTTCTGTTTGTTTTTTTTTAAATAAAAAGGTAATACATTTTAAAGAAATCATTAGCATAGGAAAAAACCCTACATTTTCAGATTTTATAAGCCTGTTGATTAACTGTGGCAAAGTTTACTAGGGCAGCAAGCAATAAATGTTGGAGAAGATGTGGGAACTCTTACACACTGTTGGTGGATTGTAAAATGGTGCAACCACTGTGGAAGACAGTTTGGTGTTTCCTTAAAAAGCTGAATACAAAACCCCATATGACCCAGCTATTCTACTAGTAGGAATATATCTTAAGGAAATTAGAACTGAGACACAAATGGAGATTTGTACATCAATGTTTATAGCAGCCCAAATGTCCAACCACAACCAAATGTATTGAGAAACTGTGCTACTTTCACATGATGGAATACTATCAGCACTGGGCAATGATTTTGAAAAATGCTATGTCACTTGAGAGAAGGTGGAGACCATTATGCTGAGTGAACTAACGCAACCACATAAAGACAAATGCTGCATAGACCATTATTGTAAAAATAGAAGGATAACTAGTAAAACATGTATGGAAACTCCAGTGGGTAGGGGTGAAACCATAGAGTTGCAGTTTGGTGGGTGGAGGGAGGGGAGGAAGGAACTGGGAAGGATCCTGGTGAAAAGACACGGTAATGACGGAAAGTCAATGGTAATTAATTTTATAAAGCATAATGCATGAGAATGTATGAAACACAATATGAAGGAAGAATAGTGTGAAACACAATCTATACAAACTTTGTAAGCAAACCAAAAAAATCTTCATTTCAAAAATTCAAAAGTCACTCAATAAAATTAATAATGCAGATATATCAAGACTATATGCTGGGCTTAATAACTTAATGCTTACTGGGCAAAGGGGCCTGGGTCAAAATCCATCATATTTTTCAAAGTCTTAATAGCAAGTATTTCCATGCATTTATTGATGGTAGGTTACCAAGGGACAAGTGCGAGTCCTCTTGTTTCTTTACAGGCAGTGGATGATCAGGCATCAAGTACATGGGGAACCTTGTGCTTATTTGTAATGTTCACAGTTGCAGAGTTAATATTCCTGGATTAAATGAGTGGTCAAGGGAAAGACACAGGGACTGTGGATCACAAGCTCCTAAGAGAACAATGCAGAGGGGATGGGAGGCACCCGTCAGTTACCTCTCGAGCGGCCACAGAGAGGAGAGTGTTCATGACCGCCAGGACTTCACTGATGCTCATGTCGGCCACGTCGCTTTTCTCAGGTAAAAGTAGAAGGCCACCTGGATCTTTATCACTGTAAGGACACAAACTAGCTCTGACATGTGGTTTCAGGAAGGGGACTTTTCATGCTTTCTAGACTAAAACATCTCATAAGAAACAGAGGCGATTTCAGTGTTGGTTGTGCAGGACAGGAGGTGTATAGGTCAGGAAGACAGGAAAAGGCCCCAGTGGCCTCAAGGCAACTTCTGTCCACATGCTCCTAACCATCACTGTAGAATATACTTACTCTCATGACATTCTCTAGCGTATGGAAAGGCTTTTGATTTAACAAACCCCAAGCATTTCCTGTATCTTCAAATGTTCTTCACAGGAGAGTCTCATGTTCTTTCATTATCCTTGACCTTTTTTGAGCACAATTTTACATAGCTCTCTACATGTGGAATCGTACCAGATCTGGTGGCCTAGTGGATGGTGAAATATGCTGTCAAACTGAGGGCAGGTGGTTGAAATCCACCAGATGCCCTGTGGAGGAAAGATGGGTAATCTCCTCCCATGTGATTTACAGCCTCTGAAAGCTGGCTAGAGGATCAGCTATGAGTCAGTGTTAACTCAATGACAATGAGAAAGACAGACTAAGAGCTCAGCCTTTTAGTTCCCTCTGTCCTTCCAGACCCTCACTTCCAGTAATACAATCTACAAGTCTATTAGTTGTTTTAGTAGTCAAAAACAAAAAACCCGAACTCACTGCTCTTGAGTCAGAACCAACCCACAGCTGACCTTTCAGTGGGTTTTTGAGAGGCTGCAAATCATACAGGAGGAGACTGCCCATCTTTGACCTTCAGAGCCACTGGTGGTTTAGAATGACCAGAGAGGCCCCACCTTTAGGATAACCGTACAATTCCCTAAAGACTACGCCACCAGAGCTCCCTCTGGTTCTCAAAGTAAGTAAAAATCTTCAAATCACATCCCTGACAATACAGATAGCCTTTTGCTACATCTCCCTTTGTCTCTACACCACACTTAAAAACTGAAGAGTTCAGAGATCCTCAAGATTGAAACTGTTTTATAATGACTGAGACCTGGATTAAGCTCTTGCTATGATTATTATCTTACCATGTCTTACTATTTCAGTCACTCCTGTGCCAAGTGTTATCTGACTCTATAAACCTGGCTAAGCAGAGAGGTTAAGTATGTGGTTCCTCCAACAGCACATGAAAGAAGAGATATGTGAAAAAGACAGCACTGCAAAGGCTGCAAATATCTGACAACAGGGAAGAATTATGAACTTACCTAAAATATGTGCACAGTGAGCGGAAAGTGAGCTGCAGGGACTGCTTGTGTTCCTGCTCGTTGACATTCTTCTAGAAAACCAGAAAGTGTTCATTCAGAAACCTAGTCCATGACATTCCAGAGAATCAGAGTAGCATGAAAGTCTCTACCCACAGTTCTCAAGCATGACAAGTACCAAGGCCTCATGGTTAATTCAATTCCTACTGATACCCTTTGGCTATGCAAGGCACTTAGGGGGATTTCCAGAAGACTTAAGAGTCAGGACACAGGAGCACAGGTGAGACAAGATACAGTCACAATAAATACACAGCAGAAAGAATGATGTAACACTGGGAAGAGAGGGTGGCCACTGCTGTGCAATTCATCATCATGAGAAGGGGAAAACCATCTTTACTACTGCTGTCAGAACAGGCCGGCAAAGGCAAAGTGATGGAGCTGCTCGGCTATTAACAGACAGCAATGGTTCTCAACCATTTTTAAATAGAAATGTTTCCTTCAGAATGAAAAAAAAACCCTGGATCTTTATACAGGTTCTACTATTTGGTAGCATAGCAGTTACTGATACTGAAAGCAATTTCCAAGCCCTGGTACTGATGTCTGAGTATAACAGAAAGAAGGGCCTCTCCGTTACTAGTATAAGTAAAAGAGGGAGAGAAAAACTATCTGGGAAATGAAACTCTTTTTAAATATATTCTGAAAATAAAGATTTCAGAATATATTTAACATAAAATATATGAAACACTGAATAAAATATAAAAAAATGAATAAAAAATAAAATTAAGATGAAAAAATTATTTACTTCAAAATAATACTGGAGGAGAAATGGCAGAGTTATTATACATGAAACAACATTAACCTGAGTTCATAGTTGTTGAAACTTGGGAACATTGGGGTGGAAGTGTGAGAATTTGTTATGCTATTTGATCTCTGTGGTTAGGGACCTCTCCAAAATACTCAAGAGCAACAGTGTCTCTCTGGAGACTAAGGTCCGCCTGATATAGGCCATGGTTTTTGCAATCACTTGTTATGCATCAGAGTTGGACAATGACTAGGGAGGATAGAAGGAGAATTGACGCCTTTGAGCTGTGGTGCTGGAGAAGAGTATTGAATGTACCATGGACTGCCAAGAAAACAAACAGATTCATCGTAGAGAGGATTAAACCAGGCTACTCCTTGGAGGCAAGGATTCTGGGGCTTCGTCTGACATACATTGGACATGTTGTAAGGAGAGACAGGTCCTTAGAGAGGGACATCATGATGGGGAGAGTAGAGAGACAGCACAGGAGGAGAAGACCCTCTATGAGGTGGATTGATTCAGTGACTGGGGTAATCGGGATGGGTGTGTCAGAGGCAATGAGATTGGCACAGGATAGAGCACAGTTTAGGCCTGCTGTACATAGGGTCGCTATGAGCCGCAAACGACTCGACGGCACATAACAACAACAACATTTGATCTACTTTCGTATTTGGTTTTAGATTTTTTTCATAATAAAAAATACTCTAAAGAAAATGTGGTTTTAAGACACGAAAATGGAGATTATACTGTCATTTTGTGAAACAAAAGGCTGTCAACAGATCAGCCACCCCATCTTAGTTTAGTACCATATCCTTAGCTATATGTGTGCTCCACACAGACTTGTATATAGTAAGTATAGGTAAACATTTGGGAAAGTGAAACAGAACATGCATTCAATGAAAACAAAGACCAAGAAATTTTATGAAAAACAGGGCTCAGGAAGAGACTCCGTATTTCTGAGATAATCACATACCATCATGGTGAAGAGATGGTTCCGCCGGGTCTGTCGATCAGGAAAGAAGATGGCAGCCCCACTGAGAAGGGTGTTTTTGACTTCTTGTTTTAATACTTCCATGGGTGCAGAATTTCCATTGACCCTGTCCACCACTGAGAAAAATGAACAATGGAAGCAGCATGAATAGATTCTATAAATTCACTCATTCACTTCATTTTATCCTTACTACCAGAGCAAGGAAATATTTCTGAATAGACAAGGGGATACAAAGACATTCTTTTTTGTTTGTTTACATTTAAATAGTCATTGTCCAGCTGACGCATAGCAAGTGATTGCAAAGATCATGGCCTAAATCAGGTGCATCTTAGTCTCCATACTGACATCATTGCTCTTCAGTACTTTGGAGAGGTCTCTAACAGCAGACTTTCCCACTGCAATATGTCTTTTAATTTCCTGGCTGCCTGGTGTGTTGACTGTGGAGCCAAGCAAACTAAAGCTGTTAATAATCTCAACCTCTTCACCATCTATCATGATGTTGCCAATTTGCCCAGTGGTGATAATCTTTGTTTTCTTGATATTTAGCCTCAATCCATATTGAAGGCTGCAGTCCTTGACTTTCTGCAGCAAGCGCTTCAGGTCCTCCACAGTTTCAGCAAGCAGAATTGGGTCATCTCCATAACACAGATTGTTTATGAATCTTCCTCCAATCCTGATTCCACTTTTCTTCTCATAGAGCCCAGCCTCCTGGATAATCTATTCTGCATACAGATTGAAAAGGAATGGAGATAGGACAACATCCCTGGCATACACCCTTCCCAATTTTGAACCATCCAGTGTTTCCTTCTTTTGTTCTGACGACTGCCTCCTGGTCCAAGTATAGGTTTTGCATTAGCACGAGAGAGCTGGACAATGAATGATTAGGTATGATAGAAGGAGAATTGATGCTTCTGAGCTGTGGTGCTGGAGAAAAGTACTGAACATACCATGGACTACTAAGAAAACAAAAAGGTTCATCTTAGAGAAGGTTAAACCAGGCTGTTCCTTGGAGGCAAGGATTCTGAAGCTTCATCTGACATACTTTGGACATGTTGCTTGGGAGGGTGGAGGGACAGGGCAGGAGAGGAAGACCCTCTATGGGTTGTGGATTGATTCAGTTACTGGGGTAATGGGGGTAGGTGTGTCAGAATCATGAGACTGGTTCAGGATGGGGCAGGCTTCAGAGCTGCTGTACACAGGATGGCAGGCAACTCAATGGCACATAACGACAATAGCATGCTAAAGGGTTAGGGTTAGGGTTGGCGTTAGGAAGAAGTCAGATGAAGAAGGAATAACCTCTAAACTCAAACAGTAGATTCCAAAGGAAGAGAACCAAAGAAAACATTGCTTTCCACAGAAGTGAACCCTTTCCTGGGTTTGCACATTCACAGGACCTTTCTTATCTACTCCTGTAGAGTACGATTGCCGGGTCACATAAAAGAAAAGCTAAACCCTACCGTCACACAAGTGTGTGTAGAGCTCCTTGGCAGCCTCCTTCCCCTTGGCACTCTGATTTGGAGCCTTTTTCTCCTCAGAAACAACCGGTGAATCTCTCCGCAGCACTGAGAAACAGCTCTGGAGCAGCTGCAGGAGCAGGGTTTGGGCAGAGACGCATTCTTCCCGCGGACTACAAAAAGACAGAGCACATCAGAGAGCAAAAAGGGCACCTTTCTTACACCCTCCAGAGCCATGCAGCTGGGCACTGGATACGCAGTTGGGTAAAATAAGTGCCAAATAAGAGGAAGAAGGGGACATGGAAAGAACACTGGTCAGAAAATTAATTTCTGATCCTCAGTTCTTCATCTATGAATTAAGGGTATTACTACCATACGTGATCTGCTTTTCCACATAGTAGTTATGAGAGGCAAATGCAAATGTTTATGAAAACACTGCCTAAACTGGGTACAGAAATGTGAGCTCTAGTTTCAATAACAGGTAAATCTTTCAAGTCAGATCAATTTAAGTATCAGAAGCAAGGAAAAAAAGAGACAGGAAAAAGATTGTTCAATTAGGATAGCCAAAATAAATAAATAAATAAATAAACTGCATGTTTTAAATAATTTCATTTAAAATTATTATGATCATATAGTAGACTCTAACTTACTTTTGTTTTAATTTATTGTAGAAATTCCAGAAGATCTCCAAGTCAAGGCCCGCAAAATCCAGAAAAGATTTATATTTTAAGCCACTTTCCTTCTGCTGTACCTAGAAAATCAGTAAGATCAGATAAAATACATTTAGATGAAGAAAATAATGCCTCATCTAATTCTCATTGTTAAAGTGGTTCCATAAGAATGAAACTCCCATGTAACTGATGCATGCTCTTAACCACTAAAGCTTATGAACAACTATTTCTGGTGTGAAACTTTCTAAAATATATGTGTGTGATGGTATGTGAATTCCTCTGTGTGCACACAGGAACATATCTATGCCTATATGCATCTACATATAACAACACACACACACACACACACACACACACACACACACACACACACACACACACACGTGTTACTATAAAGGCTCCCTAACTTCTTAGGATACAGGTCCCTGAACAAAAGCCAATCTTCTAGTTACCATCATCCAAAGCTAAGTGGCAGTATGTTAGGTCCCTGCCCTGCATGAGGGCTGAAAGGCATCAATTCTATCCTAAATGCACCTATTACTTCCTAGGGATGATAGAAAGAGAACTGATGCCTTTGAGCTGTGGTGCTGCAGGAGAGTACTGTATATACTATAGACCACTAGGAGAACAAACAAATTTCTCTAGGAGAGGGTGAAACCAAGTTGCTCCTTGGAGGCAAGAATTCTGAAGCTCTGTCTGACATAATTTTGACATGCTGCAAGGAGGAACCAGACCTTGGAGAGGGATGTCATGCTTGGGAGGGTGGAGGGACAGAGCAAGAGAGGAAGACACTTGATGAGATGGACTGACCCAGTGACTAGGGTAATGAATAAGGCTGGCTCAGTATAGAGCAGGATTCAGAGCTCTTATACATAGGATTGCTATGAGTCCAAGTGACTCCACGGCACCTAACAACGACCACCACATTTACTTCCTAAGTGGAACGCTAGTGGCCTAGTGGTAAGGAGTTATGCTGCCTGCTCAAAGGCACATGGTTAGAATCCCCACTTGCTCCATGGAAGAAAGATGAGGAATCTCATCCTGCACGATTTACTGCCTTCGGAAATCAGCTGAAGGGTCAGCTATGGGTCGGTGATGACACGACAGAACACAACAACTTCCTAAGCACTTCCTTCTAATCTGCTGTTTGCTGCTGTGATGCGGCAAATGAACGACAAAGACCAAAGGAACCAGATATACATTGAGTCATCAGCCTCTGAAAACAAAGGTCAAGTGCAGACACTGCGATACACTGCAAATAATTGGGCTCCAGAGCTCTCTGAATTCTTGAGGTAAGCCTTGTTCTCACAAAAATCTTTCTTTCACTAAGTTCTCAGTATGTTTTTACTAGGGACTTTAGAAGTCAGCATAAATTGTAAAAAAAGTGACTCCATTATTCATAAGGAAATTTATTAAACCAAAGAGAATTTTTGGTGCTTTCATGAAACAAAATGAATTCACCTAGACACAAGAAATGGCTCTCCCAAGGCATAAGAACGCACACACCACATACCTCCTGAATTTGCTGTCTCCAGTCTACCACCAGCAGCTATGGTGAGAGATCTTTAACATCTGTCTGTATGTCTGTCTATTGCAGCACACCTTCCAACCATGGCTATTATGCCACTTAGACTCTTAATGACTGATGCCATGAATGCCAACATCTTACTACTCCTGCTCTTTCAACGTCACCACAGCAGCGTGACATCTGTTGTACACCTTCTCATATAACATAGCTTGTACTGGGCCAGGTATCACTGGTTGGTGTTTAACTTCCTTACACTGTCACTGATTTTCCTAAAGGAATGTGATCTAACAGCTCAGGGAACACTACCAGGTCATGGGCGAGCTGCTGGACGAACTGAAGGGTCTTGAGGAGAAGTGTGGCCCCGCAGATGCTCTCCTCAGAGTCCTTTCTGCAGTGGGTGCAGGTGTCGTTCCTCTTGGCATCAGCGGGGGCAGGCCGGAGGTACCCACTGATGCTCAGGCCTTGCACTCCCAGGCGCTCTGCTGATTCCTGACGGGTACACAGGAACTTCACCATCAAATACTAGAAGAGACAAGAGAGATTTCAAAAGAAGAACTCAGCATCACTGGGCACTGATAAAAGGAAGAGCAAATCCTTCCTGGCAGTCTTCTGTCTTCAAAGAATTTATTAGGTACGATGTTTAGCACTGGAGACACAAACATCCAGTATCTGCAACAAATAGAAAAGAAGGCAGTACGGATGCTTGTCAGGCTTGGAGAAGGATTACAGTCAGAGAAAAGGCATTGCTTCTTTTCTGAGGTAAAAATAGAGCAAGAAAGGATAATTAAGAGAAATACATTTGCTCATCTAAAAAGAGCTATATGCTGAAAACAGTCCCTAAGAGATCATCTCAAAGTCACAAGCCATCCACTGGGAGCCTAGGAAAAAGCCTTGTCTGCTCTAGGCCATTTTCAAAGCTCCAATTTCATGCAGAGTGTCTGCTTCTTACAGTGAAAGCTCCTTGTCAAGGGCCTTTCAGAATCCACTACTCAACTTCAAGAATATTTACTGAGCACCTACTATGTATAAACTCTAAAGATATTCTTGGTTTTTTTATTTAATAAGCTTCTTACAAAGATTCATATTTGAGCTTGAAAAATATTAAATTCAAATAGTTCCTAACTATCGAAACCCATATGGTATTTTCTCTCTCTGACAGAGAACATGCAATATTCTTGCTGTTCTCTCAGCTGAGATGCCTTTTCCACCCTCTTCTTGTTCTGGGTAAAAAGGATGGCTTAATCATCTTTCAACAGGTGCCATCACACCACCCTGTTGGGATGCTGTCCCTAGTGAACTCCATGCTGGGTTAGACAGTCTTCAAACAGTCCCCGTCTGTCCTTTTATCACAGACTGTATCAGAATGTCTCTCCCACTACACGATGAATTCCTAAGCATTACAGCGCTGATGCACTCTAGATTTCAGGGCTTGCTCTGGGCCTGGCACATGGTAGGCACTCCATGATCACTTACTGAAATAAAGGAGGGAAGCAGGTGAACATGTGAAGACCACAACTCTGGATGCTTACTTTAGCAACTCTGCACTGCTGCAGTTTGACATCTGCTTCATCCCACTCTTCTTCCAGCTCAAACCAGCCAATAGGATCATCCTCTCCAAGGTCATCAGATGAGGAACCAATCCTGTAAACAAAAACATAATCACAGAACTGTTTCCTATCTCTAACCTTCTTAAGGCTCTAATGCACAGAACTTCCTAAGTGGTACTCAGTGTGTATGTGGTCTGTCAATTAAGGATGAACAATTAAGGATGGGCTACAACACATATTATGTCTTTGAACAGACTAAGTAGTTGGTGGTAATTTCTATTTCATTTCTTAGCTCCCTTACTTATAAAGTATCAGTCCCAAATACAGTCTGGGACTTAAGTGGAAACTGCTTCCCTACTTACTTGGTTTAACAGAAGAATGAGAAAGCATCATAGGTGAGCTACTCAGGAATAAGGCACAATGCTGCCAGGTGTTTCTGGAAGGGCCCAGAGGAGAGGCAGGTTCACTTGTAGCTTTCCTGACTGAAATGTGTATTACCAGCCTGAGGTTTGGGTCACTTGCACCATTGGAGGGTATGAGATGGAAGGCTTCCAACAACAGGAAGCCTAAACCTTCATACACTATTGTCTTTCTTGTTTCAGCATCTTTCCAGAAAGCACATCCCAGCCTCAGGACTGAGGAGACACAACTATAAACCCATCTTTTAAAAGACTTTTTAAAGACTGGAAGCTACTCTTTTCCTAGGAACAAAATAACTAGAAAGAAGAAAAAGCCAAGTCTACCATTCTACTCAAATAACATTCCTAAAATTTACACTATTCAATTTGTGATACCATTAATAAACTACTAATATCTGCATATTGTACATGGATAAAGCAAGTAAACAGGGAGTTACAGTAAAAAGTGGGGATAAAAAGAAAAGAAACTATAGTAGATACAGATACGAACGATATTCTCTATTTTTAATATTAAGTCTTTGTTGGAATAAAATAAACCTTTCATGATACAATTAGACCTAAAGTTATGGACCAGCAGTGGTTCTGTCCTGGCCCCAAACTGTTTTGATGGTTTTCTTCAGTGTCGTGTGTCTGACAGTTTTAAATTCACTCTGTGGGAGTGGCGAGGCAGTCTCCGAGACAGAGTGGGCAGGGTGTTAAAGATCAGAGCTGAGCGCTGGTGCTCCCCACACCACAGACTGGCAGGATGGAGAAAAGAAGGACTATTAACCCTCGTACGGATACTGCACTTAAGGAAACTACTGTGAGGCCAGATGAAGAGTCTGTGCTCACTGACCAATGTCCACAGGTGACACTCATGTTATCAACATTTTCACTTCCAAATGGAATCAGGGAAGCTAAAATGTAGGCCGACCAAATCAAGATTTAAGAATTAAGTTAGAGCCAGGAGACAAAATCATCAAGGGAGGAGTAAATAGGCCAGCAGTGAAAATGCAGAAAATCATCTTATAATATATGAGATGGGAAAGACTTTTCTGGGCAATAAGTCTCGGAGGGGAAAAAGATCTATTTCACCATGTTCCCAGAGTGGGACATGGCTACATAAAGACAACTACAACCTCCTGCTACTGTGAGGAGAAAAGCCTTTTTAAATAAGGGACAGGCCCTGGAGACTACAGCACTTACACACTCTTCAAACCTGAACCTGAACCCAGCCCGTGGGGGGAATCACTTTTCAACCAAACAACAGTAAGACCAAGAGAGTGAAAAACAATGCCCAGGAGGAACATAACCCTCAGAACAATCAAACAGGCAGGGCCAGAGGATAGAATCTGCTCAAAAACCAGGCTTAGAGGGCACGCAGGCATAGCAAAGGGGGAATGGAAATGGGGAACCCAGGAGCAAGTGAGAAGAACACTATTCCACGAAATGGATTGCAATTAAAGCCACAAAAAAAAAAGAAAAGAAAAGAAACAAAGGATAACCTTTTGGATGGAAAATTAATTTGCTCTGCAAACTTTCATTCAAACCAAAAAAAAAAAAAAAAAAGAGCATATGTCACTGTCACACACACACACACACACACACGCGCGCGCGCACTCCAGAGGCTGCTTATGTACAACAATCAAAAATCTCATGAGACTTAGTTCCTTGTTGTGGAAGCTTCCGGCCATGGTTTATGGATTCATGAGACATCTCAGCTAATTATAGAATTATCTAGATAATTAATTATACATATTTTACATTATACATATTATATTATATTCATATTATTATAATTATACATATTTTTTAAAACAGAGTTTAGTGCTTCTCTTCTACCTCTCAAGCCCATGCACCTGCCTGTAGGCTTGCTAGTTTCATCCAAGGAAGTATTAACTAGTTTCTACTTGCCTCAAGCAACAGAGGAAGAAGAATCATGATTAGGAAGAGAATATGAAGTGAGACTTGAGGAAGGAAATTGTACCTGGCTACTACCAACTGAACATGTTGATCAAAGATTCTATAGAAGAATCCTGATTAAGTTACAGACTAACTTATGTCCCCTGGTCTGAAAAGCTGGAACACGTGAAGAAGAATGTGGTATCAAGATTGGTGGTTGGCACATTAACAACCTTCGATATGTAGATGGCACAACTTTACCTGCTGAAAACAAAGAAGACTTGAAGCATTCATTGATGAAGCTAAAAAATTACAGCCTTTAGTGGGGATTACCTCACAAGAGAAAAAACGAAAATCTTCACAAGTGGACCAATAAACAACATTTTGATGAATAGTGAAAAGATTGAATTTATCAAGGATTCATTTGACTTGGAGCCACCACCAACACCCACCCCCCAGGGCAGCCGTTAAAAAAATTAAAGGAAACCTCGGAAGACACAATTTTCAGCTAATCAACAGAAAGATCCATAAGGAGAACAAAAACCCCAGGGAGATACTCATCAAATACACAATGCAATGCAGGAAAGAGGGGATGGGTGGGGAGAGAAGAAATCAAATGACATGTTACACTGCATAAGGACCTCTCTAAAGCATTAAAGGGTAAATATGTTGCTGTTACGTCTGATGCCCTGGTATTTTCAATCACTTCACATGCATGTGAAAGTTGGGACGATGAATAAGGAAAACTGAAGAAAAACTGGTACTTTTAAATTGAGATGCCGGCAAAGAATATTGAATACATACATCATGGCCTGCCAAAATAAGCGAACAAATCTGTCTTAGGAAGAAGTGCAGCCAGAAGGCTCCTTACAAAAAAAAGAGGGTGAGACTTTGTCTCACATGCCCTGGGCATGTTCTCAGGACTAGATCCATGGAAAAAACATCAGGCTTTGTCAAGAAGAGAGAAGCCCCTCACTGAGACAGACTGACACAGTGACTGTAACAATGGGCTCACACACGGCAGAGAATGGGAAGCCGCTGCAGGACAGGCGGTGCTTCATTCTGCTGTGCACAGAATGACAATTCAAAACACCTAGCAACAAGGTTGGTGATTATATTACTACTATAATGTCATCTGGGGATGAGCTGAGCTGTCTTTGCCATATTGATGAGTCAGGACTAATGTAACTTGAATGGATATAACTTGAATCAGTCTGTTCTGAGATATAAAAGAAATTTAAAAAGCAAGCAAGAAAACCAAATTGGGAGAAGAGAGATGCAGTCAAAAGTGGTTGATGATCTTCCAGAAGCAAAGACTTAAAGAGACCACTTGTGGGATCTGTTATAGGGCAGGTCTAGAAAACTAAAACCAGAGAAGACAGAACAGAATTTCAAATTATCATGGAATCCAGATTTTCTGCAGTCAGAGGCCTGGATTAACTATGGAAACTATTGTCCTGAAGTCTTAAACCAATGGTTTAGCTTAACTAGTAAAAAATTGTTGGCTTTGGGCATTATGCTCTCTTGAGAATTATCTAAATGGGAACAAAGGGTTAACAGTGACTTGAACAATTAGACAGGATGTGTAGAAGGCAGAAAATTTATGTTAACGAGGAGAAACAACAAGGAGAAAAGGTGAGAATGATTATACAACTCAAAGGACAGAATAACGCCACTGAATTGTACAAGCAGAAACTTAAATAGGTTTGTGTTTTTGCTGTGTGTATTCTCAAAAATAACAACAAAAAGGAAAAGTTTTCAAAAAGGTGTAAGTACGTAAAAGGTGAGAAATTTTAGTAATGAGTTATGTGCCATCAAATCAACTACAACTCATAGAGATACTATAAATAATACCTCTGATTCCTGCCCTATTCTGAGACAATCTCACCATCTCTGACACACCTGACCCCAAAGCCACAGTTCTGTGTCAATCCATCTCATTCAGGTCTTCCTCTCCTGCACTGACTCATCCCTCTTCTCCAAGGATTGGTCCCTTCTGCCAACATGCCCTAAGTATGTGAGATGGAGCTTCAAAATCCTTACCTCCAAAAAGCAAACTTGTTTCAGTCTCTACAAAACAGATCTTGGCAGTCCATGGTTTGTATAATACTCTTCACCAACACTACAACTCAAAGCCATAGATTCTTCTGTCATCCTTATTCATTCATTATCCAGCTCTCAGATGCACAGCAAGCAAATAAGACCATAGCCTGGGTCAGGCACACCTTAGTCTCTACACTGACCTACTTGCTCTTTAACACTCTGGAGAGGTCCTTGACAGATTTTCCCAGTGTAACGAGTTTTTTGATTTGCTGACTGCTGATGCCAAAAGTGTTGACTGTAGATCCAAGCAAAATGAAATCATTAACAACTTTAATCTTTTCTCCATCTGTCGTGATATTGCCAATTGGCCTGGCTGTGAGGATCTTTGTTTTCTTGATGTTAAAATGCAATCCATACTGAAGGCTGCAGTCCTTGACCTTGTGCAGCAAAAGCTTCAAGTCCTCAGTTTTGGTGAGAAAGATTATATCACCTGCATATCACAGGTTGTTGATGAGCTTAACTTCAATTCTGATGCCACATTCTTCTTTACAAAATCCAGCCTCCTGAATGATCTGTTCAGCATATAGATTGAAAAGGAATAGAGAAAGAATACATCCCTGTTGCACTTCTTTCTTGATTTTGAACGATGCAAGGAATCAAGGAAGTTAAAGAGCTGAACAGAAGATTTCAAACAGTACTGTGTGGAGACAAAGTAAAGTATTATAACAGAATGTGCAAAGAGATGACACAGAAAACCAAAAGGGAAGAACTCACTCAGCATTTCTCAAGGTGAAGGACTGAATAACAAATTCAGGACTTCAGTCGCAATATTTATAAAGATGCTATGGGTAAAATCTTGAATGATTCAGAAAGCATTAAAAGAAGATGGAAGGAATACATACAGTCACCATAACTAAAAGACACGGAATCATTTCAGGAAGGAGCATATGATCACAAACCAATAGTAACAATGGAGGAAATTCAAGCTGCTCTGAAGAAATTGGCAAAAGGTAAAGCCCCAGGAATAGATGGAATACCAACTGACATCTTTCAACAAACAGATGCAGCGCTGGATGTGCTCATTAGGTTATTCCAAGAAATCTGAATGACAGTTATCTGGCCAACTGACTAGAAAAGATCCTTATTTATTTCTAGTCACCAAAAAAGTGATCTAACAGAACATGGAGATTATCGAACAACATTAATAGCACATGCAAGTAAAATCCTGCTGAAGATTATACAAAAATTACTAGAACAGTACATCGATAGAGAACATCCAGAAATATAAGCTAAGTTTAGAAGAAGCTCTGGCACAAGGGACATCACTGTTTATGTCAGTAGGATCTTGGCTTAAAACCAGAAGAATGTCTATTTGTGTTTTATTAACTACGCAAAGGCATGTGACTGCAGATCACAACAAATTATACTAGTTTAAAGGGTCATAATTATAACCACTCAGTCATACAGGATATGGTTCAAATCCACCAGCTGCTCTGCAAGACGGAAGATAGACAATTTTCTCCCATTTGATTTATATCCTTTAGCAACCCAATGGAGAGTCAGCTATGAGTCATTTCTGACCTAATGGCATATAACAGCAGCAACAGTCTTCATTGCAAATGTAGATTTCAACTGAACAAGTTCTAGTAACTCAAATGCTCTGCTATGTAGTGAGTTCTCCATCAATAAAAGTATTTACAGAGAGGCCAAATCAAATCCTATCAGGAGTGCTGCTGAAGAAATTCAGCACAGGAAGGGAATTCTTCTAGACCTAAATTTTGCCTTTTAGACCAGCAATATCAGTTTCTGAAGAGCCTGTAAGAATGGAAGAGCTTCTAATCCCATTACAGCTTACTGGAATCAGAATTTAGTTTTAACAAGATTCCTAAGTGATTTGTACACATGTTAAAGTTTATGTTGTAGCATACTAGGTGAAAATAACAGCAGCAGCATAGTGGTTAAAACATTTGGCTGCTAACTTTAAGGTTGGCAGTTCAAACCCAACAACTGCTCCATGAAAAGAAGAAAAGGTCCATAAAGATTTACAGAAATCCTTATGGGAAGTTCTATTCTGTCCTATAGTATTGCTATAGTAGGAACTGACTCGATGCTAGTAGCTGGGTACTAGATGGTATTGAAAAGTTTCTGTTAACCCAAGTAGCCCTTACTTAATGAAATATACAGCCCTACAGACACCACATGCAGAACTGAGTTTCATGGATTTTAATGAGCGCACAGTAATAAAGGGAGCTCTGTTGCAAGCTGCATTGCTAACTCAATGGTTTTCCGTCTCCTGAAGTTCAAATTTATCAGCACCTCCAGGAAAGAAAGATGAGTATTCTCCTCCCACTGCAATTTACAGCCTCAGAACCTAGAGGAGGATCTCTCTTTCCATTATGACATTCACTGACTTGATGACAGTCAGTGAGCAAGAAGCAGTAAGGGAAGCCGGCATTGTCCACAGGGCCACTAATGACATCTTCAGCCAAATCCAAGAGTTTCATGCTTTATTTTATTAGTTTCTGGTAACATTTGACACCGCTGTCCACTCACGTGCTACTTATTTCAACACTGTTCCTTGGCTTTGTGATGGATTTTCCTGTCACTTCTCCAGCCATTTTTCTCAGCCTTCTTTATGGTCTTTCTTCCAATCTACGTTTCATATGACACGATCTACAGCAAGATTTCTATGGCATGTTTATTTCTTTGCTCTTTCTTCAAATCCCTCCATTGACCTCTGTCCTCCAATTACACATATCAACAGTATTTTAAAGTTCAGTCTAAATCTCAAAATAGACAGATCTTTAATGACCTAGCCCTTTCCTTGTTGTCCAGTTTCATCTCTCACCACTCTTCAGCTCACAGTGTTTCAACCACACAAATTTTTCAGGTCCATGAGCGTGGTATACTTCTCCCCGAGACCATGATTAACTCTAACTCGTGCTTCAGTTCTCATCTCAGACAACACTTGATCCAAGAGCTCTGCCATCTACTTCCAAAGTACCCTCTCTTATTACAACACTCATAACACTGCTGACACTGCAAGGTTTTTTGTCTCTTCTCTTAGGTAGATAATAAAAGTTATAAAACCCAGGACTGTGTTAATTTGCTTATTATTGCACCTTCCTTACTATTCTTATTTTTCTGCTTTGTTATACGTCTAATATTAAGCATGGCACATAGTAGGTGCTTAATAAATATTTTTTAATAAAAGCACTGAATAAGATGGAGGTATAGGCTGAAATATGGAAAAAGTTCCCAGTGTCTACATAAGACACTGTTTAGATTGCAGGTTGTCCAAAATGAATACATTTATTATTACTCAGGAATTCTGGACCCAAAAGAGACTGAATAAAAGTCGATGAACAAAGTAAACTTGCAAACCTTTACTATGATGTTAGAAAACAATGACTGCTTATGGCCAGAAAGGATAGGTTAGTGACATCTTTTTGATAAAGACAAGAAGGTATATTTTACCACTAAGAGAAGACAGAAATTGTTAATAACTGCAAAGATTTTAAGTCTGTCCCTTACCTGCTTTTTACAAATTGCCTCAACTCCTTTAGCTTCCATTTGTCATATTTTTCAAATCTTTTGAAGTGTTCTTCAGCATGAAATTTATCAGAAGATGAGTTATAGGCAAATACTAGCCCACACTGTGCACCGATGCCCCCACGCCGAACCTAACAGGAGAGATCAAAATATCAAAGAGGCAAAACTTCTGTGACTGTTTCAAAACAGTATGGCTAGACAAAAGTAACTTAAAGCAGAATTGAAATCAATGAAATAATATTTCAAATACTTTAAGCCCTAGAAAAACCAGGAAACTGATTCTCATGGCCATGAGCCTGACATAAGCCCCAAATTAAACCACTCAAACACGTCTGCTACACAGTAAATAATCATTAAGTGTTAAATGAAAACTCTGTAACCTAAACCCCTGAAACACAATCCTCTAAAAGAGAAAATCAGTGGTAACTTTGGAGAAGGCTACTTAAAGAAAGTGGCCTGAGCATTACCATAACTCTGATCTGTGTCACTTGGAAGGCAGATTCGGTTCCTGAAGAAAAAATAGTACTTGCTCTGGTTTTCCCAGTTTCTGTAAGAAAACCTGAAATACAAACAAACAAAACAACCAACAACTGAAGTTAGGATCATCGATTTATCTCTTCTAATTTTAGGAATTAATAAGATCAACCAAAAACTATATTCTTTTAGGCAGGGGGATAATTAGTGGATCTGGCATCTTTGTGATAATTAGAAAAGACTTTCCCCTGTGGGCAGTTAGCTGCACCAATAAGGCCCTGAGTCAGAATCGACTTGATGGCAACAGTTTGGTTTTGGGGTTTTTTTTGTGTGTGTTTTTCAAATGCACCGGCTTGATTTTAGCCTGAGCTGCCAGGAACCAGCCTCTTCAAAGCACAAAGTTCTCAATTTTACAAGTAGTCCTGTTGGGAGGTGAGAAATAAAGAAAAGAGAAAGGTTCTAAAAATTATGATTTTCATTCAAAGAGACAAAAGACTAGACAATTACCTTCTTGATGTCATTCTTAAACCCATGACTTATAGTGTTTGAGATGAGATCAATTCAGGAAGATTTACAGGCTGAGAAAAGGATCAGACAGCTTATAGAAGAAGACTGTGAAAACCATGAAATAGGGAAGAAAAAGATTATTCAGTGTTCTAATGGGCTGTCTTTTGAATACCTGTCTTTGGGTTATTTTCTAATTCTGTAAATTACAGAATATAGGTAATAATGCAATTGACTCTTGTCCACAGAAATAAAAATGAATGCCGATGAAAACATATTACTTCTTTTGGATTTTGATCAACTTTATATTATAAATTCCTTTCAGCATTTACTGTGTACTTCCTGTGACTTGGTTATTTTACTCATTAACTAGTGAGATAAATAAAACTGGTCAGTGGACATAGCATTTATATTTTTATAAAAGTAATTTTCCTATTGCTGTTAATCATCCTTTAGCAACTCAGGAAAAGAGTCTTCTTTAGACCTAAGGCTGCCTTTCTCCGTGTAATTCTGTAATGATGTAATAGCATGGATTTGCTCCAGTGCAAACTATTATTCCTCTAAATCCAAATTGTTTTCTACTATTCTGTCCTATTCAGATGAAAGACTAAAATCATTATCATCCTTATTTCATTAAAGTGAGCTCAACTGAGGGACTCTGTTAAAGCCTTGAAGGCATGGAGATACCAGTGAGTTTTCTTGTTGTAGACTTCAAAATGGGTGATGTTGAGAAGGGCAAAAAAATTTTTGTGCAGAAGTGTGCCCAGTGCCACACCGTGGAGAAGGGGGGCAAGCACAAGACTGGGCCGAACCTGCATGGTTTATTTGGGCGGAAGACTG